TGCCATCTGCTGCTTGGGATGGATGACGGCATACATTTCAGTATTGTGTGTGTGCATTGTGTTATACACACACACACACACACACACACACACACACACACACTGTGGGGGGGATGAAGTGAAGGAATATCTTTATCAATCTTTGTTTACCTGTATCCTTTAAGATGTTATTAAAAATGGGAATTTTGCAGCCTTTATTAATGAGACTTCAGATCCATCTGTTAACAGTGTAAGTTTTTTTATTCAATTCAATGGGACTTAAAACTGGCTGAATTGTACCCTATTTATTGATTTATAAATATTGTAACAAAAGTTGGGTGCCACCCCCACTCTGCCGAGTGGTAGCAAGATTCTGGTGTGTGTGTGTGTGTGTGTGTGTGTGTGTGTGTGGTGCTCAGTTCCTTTGGGGAACTGAAACACGGCTTTAAGTAATGTGGTTTATTTACCTGTTTGCACCTTCAGCCTGCATGGAGGGAGTCCAGATCTTACAGCATAGTCATTTCAAGAGGGGCTTGTCCCCCACAGCGATGCAGCCCTGGAGTCAAAGGCATCTCTCCCAGACAGCCTTCAGACAACCTGCCTATGATGGATCCCAATCTTTCTTTTCCCCCTCCTTCTTCCCAGCACACCTTGCTCTCTCTTTTCCTTGGAACCCACACCCCATCACCATGGCAACCTGTCACGGTCCGGTTCATGGGCGATTGAAGTCCCGGCAGGGGACATCAGGACTGGGGGCAAGATGGCGGGGTGGGAGCAGGAATGGGGGTCCAGAAGCCAGGAGTCAGGAAGCCAAGAGTCTGAGGATCAAGAAGCAAGGAGTCACAAAGTCAGGGGTCTGAGGATCAAGAAGCAAGGAGCCAAGGAGCCAAACACAGCAAGGCAGGGAACGTGTTGCTGTGGAAAAGAGCCAAAGGGAAATGCTGACCTTATATCCCTTCCTGGCTCTTGCCACCAGGTGCTGTGAGTTACCAAATGGCCTCACCTCTTCAGAATAAACTTAGGAAGGCCCCAGTCCTGCAAAGTCCTATTGGTCACAGGGCCTGGCTCCTGTACGCACACCTGACACATCCTCTGTCTGCCCAGGTCCAGGTTCTCAGGTATGCCATCAACCCCTTTTGGGTGTTCAGACCCAGAGACCTTCCCCCTAAATAAAGTCACACTTGACTCAAATTTTAGTTTTGGTTTTTGGCAGAATTCAGGCCACAACTTTATTGATTACAGAAGGTGAGTGGATGCATATGCTCTGGTTCGACTAGCTCCCTGCACCCTTGCAGACAGTGCTGACCCAGGGCACCAGCATAGGTCAGCCAAGGGTGAACCCCTGGGAAGGCGAACAGCTGGGAACAGACTATGTTCACCACCCAGATGCCCCCCTAGACTCAGGCATGGGCACAACCGCCTCTCAGGGTTTGACCAAACCAGTTGAGTCCCTGGATTCCTTTAACGGAATACCCTTCACATAGGGATGGCGAGACCATTCTCCCATCCCTATCACCTGAACCAGTGCATATCCGCAACCTTACAAGTTGTGACAATTTGCTATGCGGCAGGCGAAACCCAAATGGCAGCAGCCAATCAGCCAAGTGGGGAAAATTCCTGCCGTGCCCCTGTCCCAACAACAGAGGACACACAACATAGCAAGGTCATTCGCAAATGACCTAAAAGTAGGGAGAGGTGGTCGGGTGTTCTGAATGCATGAGCCGAAAGAGGAAGCTCTGGGTCACGTGCATGGGTATATATAGGTCCCTCAATCCATTTGGACTGCGCCCCATTGGCCAGATGAACCCAACATCGAGGGACCTACCAATCAGGTGTTGTGGCTGTCCAGTCTCACCCACCCACAACACAGGAGTTCGCTCTCCAGGTCTCACTGCAACACGTGCCCTCTTTTAGGGAGGACATGATTTGTCATGTTAATGGCTCTATCCCAGGTGAAGACCTGGGTTGGAAAGGAAGCTTGGCCTATCCTTTTCCACCAGCCTGCAATCTTCCCTTCAATACTCCAAGTAACCAAAATCCTACCATTTATTTTCTAGATAAACTTGTTCTGCTCTGTCTGATAGCACTCACCATTTTTTTGTCAAGGTGGAAGGATTGGAAATCTTCATGAAGCTTCATATTTGAAATCCTGTTGAACATGGTCTTTGACATTTTGCTTTAAAAAGCAATACCGTTCCCAGTTTAGGAAATACAAATCTTCTCCCAGATTTCTGTTTAATTGAAGTTGAAAACTCTCAGCTGTATGCTGAAGAGCAACAATGTTTTGAATGATGGCAGTGTTTTTGAATTTCCGCTTTCTCCCATTGCCACTTAAATAATTTGGTAATTCAGTATTTTTTTTATTTGCTAGCATGCCAAACTGGATGACACTTTAAAAAATCAGGTATGCTTATCTGTGCAGGAAGACTGCTTCTGGGTCTGTGGTGAGCCAGACCACCACCTACCAAACAAACAAGGACATAAGCATGCAATACGGATACTCTTTACTTCAGCTCAGATAAGGCTGCTGAACCATTTTCTTTGCTTCTCAGTTTGTGTCTGTAACAGTTCAAATCCAATCTGGTATTCAGTCGTGGTGGCTGGTGCTCATTAGGTATGTCAGAAAGTCAAGAGACCGACAGCAGGTGGTGCCAGAACCAATGACAGGTAGCGCCAACTAATCTTGTTTTGTCCCCATCCTCTTCCCTACAAAGGCAACAGAGATTCTGAGGAAGAGGATGCGGACAAAACAAGCACCAGTCAAAGACCCCTCTATTTTTCTCTGGTCCTTTAGTCATAATTTCCTCATCAATTTTATCTGGTGTTTAAGATCTTCACGCCATTTAGGTCTTGTGTTTTTTTTTACGATCATTCGGGTTTGTTTACGGTTTGTTTTCTTATCCATTTTCTTATTATGTCAACTGTGCTCTTAGAATTTTTATTAACAGACAAAATAAGAACAGCTACAATAAGTAAAGAGAACGTTGTTTAAAATGCAGGTCTCCTGATGTCACTGACATTTATGACATCTGCGCACTCTCAGCTGAAGATTTTGGAGAGCTGGCTAGGCCTTTGCTTTTTCCAGAACCTTCCTGGGAGTTGAGTTTTGGTTTTGCTATCATCCAGTTGCTCTGGAGAATCTCCTCATCACCTGGATCCCATTTTGGTCAAGCAGAGAGAGGGGACTGTCAACATGTATTCTGTGTGTTCCTTCCTCTTACACAGTAGGTTTTGGATCCAATTCTCTGCAGTTAATTATTTTTTTATAAAACGTTGCTGCCTGGTTCTGTTCATACACTGAGCTTCAACCAGTTGCAGGAACATTTTTTATAACATCTTTGTCGGCTGCATTAAAGAACAGATTATCAGAGTCCACAGCTGATGTTTAACTTAGTTAATCAGGGATCACGTCCTACTTGTATAAGCAAACCAATTATACAAGCTCACTGGGCAGAGAAGCTTTCCTATCAAGTATCCCCTGTGGACGGATACAAAATAATGTGAAAGCAACAGATTAGAGATATTGGGAACACTCTCTAAATTTAAGCTCTTTCCCCGGATATATCTTTATGCCAGATCAGCCCAGTTCAATTTACCTTTCAGTGTCCTGTTCCAAGTTGCAGAAATCGCAGAAGAGTAAAGAACGTCAGTATATTTTTTATAAAATGTAAATGTAGAAAAGGAAGCTCTGGTTACAGCTTTTAATAGCATACAGTCATTCACCTCTTCTGCTCCAAAGAAAGACTGATACAAAAATGCAAGGGGTTGCATTTTTCTGAAAGCTGACCAAACCTTTCAAGTTGCTCTGACTTTTGGGCCAGGAATCAGACCCGAATATTAAATTGCCAGATGGAAGCTCTTGATTTAACTACACATCCATGCATGGTTTAAAGAGGGTTGCAGAAGCATCAAAACTTCCTTTTGGGGGGGAAGGAATCCTTAATGGGAGCGAAGCAAAACAATTGCCCAGGGGTTGGTCTTGGCATGCTCAGTTGCTCTGGAGGGCTAACCAACTGCTTGGGGGGCAGGAACAGGAAACTGGGGGGGGGGTAGTTTCATGAAGTGGGTAGAATTCTGAGCAGGACACACCATGCTGCAACATTTTGTTGTAGGTGCCATTTGGTGCCAAATATTGCATGATTCATAGCTGATGGTTTCATAATTTAGTAATAATGTGTATCAAGACCAACCTTCCGGTATTCAAACTTGACACAAGGCTAGTCTGCATGAGATAATGCCGTGAAGACCATCACTTTTATAGGTTTGACTCTCCTCCCATCTGTTGCTTTCCTTCAAACATCATGGAATACTACAGAAAAAAAACATGACCATATTTTTTAAAAGTAGCACAAAGGGGCAATGACAGAAAGCAAACCACAATCACTGGGGCATTTATTCAGGTTTCCTTTCTCCAGTTGTCTACAATATGCCTGCCACAAGTGCACAAGATGAATGGGACATTTGCTCCAGTTGCCAGCTCACTTAGGAGTTGTCAGCTGTTGGATTCCAGCTGCCTTCTGGGTCCTAGACAATAGCGGTTGGTTGCCCTGTATACCTTCACATTGCCTAGCTACTATAACATGCTTTCTGCTTCCTGAACCTGACAGTAAAGGTGGCTGGATAGAGGGGGAGAGGGCACTTGGAACAGGAGAACAAAACTGAGAGGCAGAAAACTTCGGATGAAAGGTTTGTAGGCAAGGATAGTTCCTTTGCCTAATCATTTAATCAACAATGGAGGAAAAGTTCATTGTTCACAATTTAGATACCCAGTCCTTTTCTCGTGTGTATCAAGCAAACTCATTGTTGTTCTATACATATTCAGAGAATATTTGGTGTAAGCAAGACTTTTCTGACATTAGCAAGTGAAAACTGTGTGAAGCCATTCATCATAAGCAGCCCTATGGACATTTATTATCTTCTGGCATGGATCATTTACTAACAAGACACTGAAGAGGAGCTTCATTATCTTTCTTGGAGAGAAAGTGCACAAAATGTTGTAAAATGCAGCCAATAGAACTACATCAGACTGGAGTCACTTGGTTGATCTTACAAGGAGTTTTGGGTTCAGCTGGAGCTGCGGATGTCGAAATCTCTTCATCTGGTTTTGCCAGAACAACTTGGCCACAGGTTATAAATTCAACCGCGCACTCACGAAACTGCAAAACGAAAACAAAGGAAAATCAATATGCTTGTGCTTTTGTGCTGTCACAGTGAGATAGCGTTCCTTTTGGGTATAACTCTAAGTTATATTATATTCTGCTAACTGGAAACAGTGTACATGTCATCCTGTGGTCTTTCAACAAGGTCTTCCTATCCATTTTTTGTTCACCAGAGTACAATGCATATGAGCTTCTTTCAGAATTATTGCAAGGCCCTTTCTATTTGGGCTGACCAGGGTTAATTGTTTGACTCTGGGTGGGGTTCAAACAACTTCCCCTCATGCAATGGAACTTCTCTTTCTGCTCAACTCGTGTACCCCCCATAACCTTCCCAAATCTACCTTGGGGGTTCCCCCACCCCAGAGCAGGGAATGCAGGAGGGAGGAGAAGGAGAAGTTCTATTGCGTGAGCGGAAGTCACTCTGCTCATGCAATGACTTCACTGGAGTCATCCCAGAGTCAACCCAGCAGTGGCAATGCCAACCATCTGGGGAAATGGTCCAGCCGTGGGGGAAACAACACACACACAAGAGTCCTGCTACTGGATCCAGAAATCCTGATGCATGAGCAGACCCAAAAGAGGATTCTGCATGTGAAAGTGTACAAATTGCCTTTTGCCCAGTTAGTAAGGTAAAGGGACCCCTGACCATTAGGTCCAGTCATGACCGACTCTGGGGTTGCAGCGCTCATCTTGCTTTATTGGCTGAGGGAGCCAGCGTACAGCTTCAGGGTCATGTGGCCAGCATGACTAAGCCACTTCTGGCGAACCAGAGCAGCACACGGAAACGCTGTTTACCTTCCCGCCAGAGTGGTACCTATTTATCTACTTGCACTTTTGACGTGTTTCCGAACTGCTAGGTTGGCAGGAGCAGGGACCAAGCAACGGGAGCTCACCCCATCACGGGGATTCGAACCGCCGATCTTCTGATCGGCAAGTCCTAGGCTCTGTGGTTTAACCCACAGCGCCACCCGCGTCCCAGTCAGTATGCTTGTGCAAATGTATATAAGGTCTCACCTAGATAAATAATTTCAAAAATCCTGTTGAGGGACAGGAAGGGGAGAATAGGGTTGCCCAAACAAAGGTTCTACAGCGACTAGTAGATTTGAAGTTGGAAGCCTGCAACTTAATCTACAAAATGAAATTCACTATAAAAGTAACTAGCCCACAAAATATACAAAAGACAGTGCAATACCTGTTTGTTCAAGAAAATGTAGATGATTGGGTTGTATACTGGGCTTGTTTTGGAGAGATATGTTGGGATGGTTGCAGCCAGAGGGGAAATATTCAGGGCTGGGTCAATAACAACAGTAAGAGCAAAGACTGTGTATGGCAGCCAGCAGACCAAAAAAGCCACCACCATCACAAGCACCATAATTACGGCCCGAAACTCTTCTTCCGGATTCCCTTTTCCTCCCATTTCTTCAACTTTCTTATTTAGCTGTTAAATCAAATCAACAGTATTAGCCATTCAATAGAGGCATTTATTCAGCTATGTTTGGACTCATGCAAATCCTATGTCTACATTAAAGCCTGCATGTTGTACATCTACAAGGTGCATGAATGAAAGCTAATATCTTCCAAATCACCATTGCTCTTATTGCAGTCTGGGCGTCTCTTCTGATAAACTACATGTATGTCCTTGAATTTTTTGTGTTTTGCTCTTACTACAATTTCATCATTGAGCTTTTAAATGCTGCTGTTATTTTGATTCCATGCTGTAAATTTCTTGGAGGAACTCTAGAAAGCAGAAAAGTTTGAAATAAACGCCAGCAGCACATACTAAGCTACTAGGCTTCAGAATTGGCTTTAGCATAAAGGGACATGATCTTCACATCATTTAACACTTGCTTTGAGTGACAGTTTCTAGACGGGGCACCATTTTGCAGCCCTAGACTTGTGTATCTTTTTTTAAAAGAGTTATGCTCTTGAGTTGTATATGTGCATGCACATGATTTTGATTTTTAACCTCAAATGCAAAGATAATGTGGCCATAATTGCCTAAACTGCTTTGGTCAAGTCACTCTATAGTGCCTTCAGATGGGAACTGAAACATAAAAGGAATTTTCTGGTATTTAAAAAAATCTGGCCATTGCTTATATAGCTGTATGCAAGTTTTTTTTAAAAAAAAAAAAAGCTCTATAAAAGTCTGCACTGTTTTACATGATGACACTGACATTGACTGGATACAAATATGAAAAGAGCCAGGAATCCTATGGGCTTTCATTTAGGCTGCAAACTTGTGGATGCATTAACACCAAGAATAAATTGGCTCGGTGACAGAAAAGTATGGAGGTGGCATTGGTCAGCAAACGGGGACAGAGGTGGAATGGGGTGGAGGAAACAGTTGACTACTTACCCCACGCAGTGACCTAATGACATTGCCATATGAAAACCCAATGATCAGGACAGGGATAAAGAAGCAGGACAAGAAGTATACAATCAGAAAGCTATAGTTGTTCCAAGATCTATCTTCCCAGCCAATGGAGCATGATGTCTGGACTCCTTCGGGTCCATAAGAACTCCAGCCAAAGAGTGGGACCACAGCCCAGAAGAGACAGAAAACCCAGATGAAACCAAGGAGCTGGTAACCTCTCTTCTTGCTCATCTGGAGAGTTCCCAGAGGCTGGCAGACCACATTGTATCTTTCGTAAGCTAAAATGGTCAGGGACCAAAGAGAAACAATTCCTGGAAGATAATAAGAAAGGCAAAAAAAATGCTAGGAATCATCAAACCACAATATTCCACATTTCAATACTGTTGATCATATTTCATAGGAAATTCCAAAAAAATTCGAAATCAATGGGATGTACTTTTGCAACCGTATGCACACATATCTGGGAGTAAATCCCACGGGAGTCAATGAGACATAATTCCGAGTAGAAAAGTATAGGATAGCACAATAAATGAGCTTAAAATTTCGGCTGTGCTACCCAATCCTATCTATGTTTACTCAAATGTCTGTCATACTTATTTCAGTGGGACTTATTCTGAAAAAGGTCTGTGTGCTTATACACACTTTGAGTAGTGGTTTAGAAACAACAACAAAATTAGTCATTTGAATTCCAAGTTAGGATTGGGCCAGGATGTTCCAGAATTTTTTTTAAAAACTTACATTTATTCTTTTTTTTAACTACAAAGCACCTTCATGACCTTCTTTCATTTAGCATAATAAAACCCAAAGATCTCACATCAGTTGTCATTCAAGAGGGAACTAAATGTTTGGCTGTTTATTCTGGTTTTGTCGACTTGATATTGCTGTCGACTTGTCTGTTTAAAGGTATTTTAACTGTAAATTGTACTGTTATTTATCTGTGCAAACCCTCTTAAGGGGGTTTGCCATGAAAGGCAGGATATAAATGTATTTTAATTATAACAGCAATAAGCAGCAGCAGAAATATCTAGCTATTTTGCTTACCAAAATAATTGACAGCAAATCCCTGGAAAGTGCAGAACCTCTTTCCCAGGAAGAAATATCCGCGGTAGTTTGTAGCTATAACAATGGTGGTGCCACAGAGGGACATCATAAGATCTGAAAAGGAGACATTGAGAATGAATATGTTGATGGGGTTACGGAGCTGAGGATTCTTCAGCGTTACAGCAATAACCAAAAAATTGTTAAATATTGAAAATAAAGCATTAAGAAACATCAGGAAAGCCAAGACTCCATATCCAGCTCTTGGGAAAATGGTAGGATGCACGGTAATCTCCACAGTTGCAAAAGAACTATCATTCCCCATGGTGGTTAGACACACAGAGAACTACATGTTTTATTATAACACCTAATGCAAACTATGACTCATTTCCTAAATGGATTGGGAATCCTCTAATCGCAGAAATACACGCAATTTGTTTTTTAAAAAAACATTTGATGAAGTTAAATCCTAGGATGAAAGCAACAGCTGTCTTTTTTTCTTTCTACCACCGTGAAAGAGTGGTGAAGAGTAACAAAGAAGAGTAACAAACAATTAAGTATCATAATAAGATTACGCACAGAACAATAGCCGTCTCCAGTTGACAAAATACACCACAGATTAGTTTAGAGGCAACCTTCCTTACACTAATTTTCAAAATGCAATAGAGTATTACTAACAGAGGAGGGGTGGGCAGAGACATCTTCACTGGTGGCTTGTGACCCCCGGGTATGGGATGGGGGGCAGCAAAGGGGATCACCAGAGACAGGACCAATTTGTTCTGGTTGTCTTCCCCCTCCTGCCTTCCAAAGATACTGTGGATTTTTAAACAATGCTGTGGTACAATTACTTAGCATCTAACTGAACTCAACCCTGTGGAATACGTCGGGCTGGAAAACTCTGTTTTGACAATCCACCAGCTTTTTAATGTTATGCTTGGCAGCAGAAAATGGACAACACCGCTTCTCAACATTTTGTTGTTGTTGTTGCTGCTGCTGCTGCTGTTGTTGTTGCAGGGAACAGCTGAATTACCGATCACATTATAAAGAAAAATAGCTTCCTGCCAACCTCCACAAGTGTAAAATGTATGTATTTTAAGATGGTAAAGAATAAATCCTGTATTCGGGGTGTAGCTACTACACTAGCTTCCCAGCAGGTGGGTCAGTGTTGCTGACTCTGAAAGACAGGGGTGAGGTGGCAGGGTGGTTGGTGCAGTGCAAGTGTACCAGCAGGGCAGGGCCAACAGACCCATGAGGCAGTGTGAGCAAGCTGCCTCAGGTGGCAGAAGCCCAAGGGACAGCGCCCCTGTGGGTGCCGCACCCACCACCACCTGCCACCACCAGCAGAGAAGCAGTACCAGCATCAGCCCCAGCTTCTAGCAAGGTCTTGTGAGATCTCACTAAAATCTCACAAGCTCTCACCAAGATCTCACAGAGCACACAAGATCTCATGGGATTTCAGCAAGATCTCGCTGACACTGCCATGCAACCCACGTAAAGGAGGGTTTCAGTGGTGGGGCAGTGTGGTGGCAGAATGGCAAGTTCCTGTTTACCTCAGGGGGTGAAACAGGATGTTGTGCCCCCGTGACAGGGGCACCAGATCCATTCCTTCACAAGTTCACTGAGTTCACTGAGAGTTAGTAATTTGTATATATTTTATTTCTATATTTTATATTATAGAATTGTATATAGAATTATATACAATTCATTTTAGTAAAAGTTCAGAGGGACTCCAACATCTGTTATTAAAATATATATATATTTAAAACCCCACAATTTATACTTGGTGTTTTACTGGAAATGTCAACAACAATCAAACCTTTCTGCTCCAGGTACCTGCCAAGGATGTTTTAAAGCTCAGGGCCAGTCCAGACACATTTGAAGTAGGTATAACATTTATACAGTATTTATAGAAGCCAGTCACTAAGCAAACAAGCCTGGTGGTTCTGCAGTGGGCAGGCCGCCTTCATAAATTTAACTAGGCTGAGGAGTTACACCATGTACCATACTACACCCAAGTCAAATTCCTGATTTCAAGTGGCTGCGTCTTAAGAGTAGAGGTAGAAGGTCCAGAATTACATGTATGTATCCTATTTTCACGATACCATTAATATATAGGGACTGTCATTTTTAAATATTTACATTTTCATTTGACAAGTTGTTAGATTGGTTTGTGAATGGTTCTTCCTGTCATGATTTTGACATGTTGTTCATGAAAAGTTTTTTCTATATAATATTCAGTTTGCTAACTATAAATATTTTTATTAATTGAAGATTTCGCTAACGAAGGACCAGAGTAGTTGGAAATGCATTGGACAAAAGAAAACCCTGCTCTGTTTTTCCTACCCTATGCTTTTTGCTCCTTGTTGCAGTTGTTTAGAGCTTCCCCCTTTTTTGTTGGCATAAGGAGTTGTAGCATACCGACCATTTTATTGGGGACAATCCCCATTTTTTGATACCTATCTCTGGTAAATCACCAGCCCTATTTTGTCCATATTTTATTTGGTGCTGTTTTGCCACGTTACATTTTGCAGTTGTTCAAGTTTCACTGGGCCACATAAATCGAAGCTGAGGTGAGATGTGAAAACACAGGGATGTCCCGGCTCCCTGGTAATCCTCATTGCCACCACAGAATTGGTCTTCAACTGGTGAGTCAGGAACGTCTATGGGCTCATGAACTGATCTCTGGTAGCTCACAACAGCAGCCCTACCACCATACAAGTATATGCTAGAAAGAGGGAGAGATTGGGATGGGGACATCCCCAAAAGCATTTGTGGGTGAAAGGTTGAAAAACTGAAGACTACTTTGCTACACTATGTCATATCTAGTAGTGTATATATAACAGCTACCATAATGGGCTAGGTGACCTAGCTAAAAAATATAGTATTATCACAACCACAAAACATTCTACCAGTATTATGTCAACATGAGTCATCTAGGCTATTATCAGCAGGGGCGGGAATATTTTGTGCATTCACATGATATTGAAGGGAGATTTTGATAAGAAGTTTAAGGGGGGGGGTTTAAAAGGGCTTCATTATTAAGGGCACAGGAAGGTTCTTTGTGTGAAGGGACAGCAAAGGGAACATCACAAAAGGAAAGGTCGAGCTGTTCTAATTGTACGCTTATTCACAAAGGACAGGCACAGTGGCTGACAAATCTCCCCTGTTGACATGTTTCTTGATCCTCTTTCATCCATTGTTCTCCCCTGAGTGAAGCGAATGTGTCAAAATGTTGAACTCAGAAGCTGGGGGCGAGGGGGGGGCAGAATTAAGAATTGGGAAGAAAAAGAGAATTCAACAAACATGCCCAAAGAGCAAAGAAAATCAGTTATGTGTTGCGGCAGATCATGTTACCTTCTGTAAACTCGCTTGCTACCACTTCCCTTTGCACTGTTGAGATAAAGAAATCCCTTGGAAACATACAAAGAGGAAAAACAAGTTCCCTATTCCTGCATTCAGAAAGGAGGCTGGGAAAGTGAAAAGAGGAATTTCCACCCTTCAGGCTAAAAGGGCAGAAAAACTACCCGTGGCTTTAGCCATTGTGTTAAACAACTTCCCTGTTACACATTTTCTCGTGCAGGATCATGTTTACCCCCAAGGAAGCTGGCTGTATCAGTGATCCCTGCGCACCTGCTGTTGAAACAGTAAGTACTGAGCTGGAGCGTTATCAGATTCATGTGTTATGGTATCATGCTTCTGTTTATAGAATACTGCTAATTAACTCCCCTTGGGTGCTTTTCAGTTTTGTGTTATAACCATTCAAAATCCTGCGAAATCAAGCTACTTTAAAATGATGGGCTGCACAACTTTAGCCTGCTTTACTCTCGTAAAGAAGCCCCATGCTGTCCAGTGGTGCATCTGATTGCCCCTAACCTTTCACCAACATGAACAGGTCTGTGCTGATTAAGCATCAAAGTCAGGGATCGGCCAGTATAAATTTATAATTGAATCCACGCCCACAGAACAAAGTGCCTTGATTGATTTCTGCTTCTTCATGGAAAGCTTTCAGAGCCTCTCCTTCTGGCAGCAGAACCCATTCCAATCTCTTATGCTGCCCCCTAAAACCTGGCATCAAAAACACCCTCCCTCCAGTGAATCACAATCGGAAAGGGTGTTGGTATGCAAGTCTTTCATTGTCAAAGGGGGTTCCTTGGATTGTAGCAGCACAAGGGTGTTTTTAAATATAAAATGTTGGCTTTGAGAATGAAATCCTTCCTTTCATCTCTGTAGATCTTTCTGCTGTGATTAAAGGATTCATAAAAATGGAGTGCAAATCTTTTGAAGTGGATGAAGCAGTCTACTTGGAGGATCAATGTCATATTCTTGAGGTGACCGAACCACAAGAAGACAATTTGGATTTGGCAGGAAAGAGTGACTTGGGAAATATTGTCTTTTCATCCTGCGAAATCCCAGCTCCATCCAGCCCTGAGATCAAATTGTACCCTAATAATATCACCAAGAGGAGGGCCTTTAGTGACAGCCCAAATCTGCTCCAAGTTCCACCTGTGGAGGATGGCAATGGTGACTTCACACCTTACCAATTTAACAGGCATGCTCCAGGAAGGATTTCTACTTCTCCAACTCTTAGGAGGCTACGAAACAGTACCTCATCACTCTCTCAGGTCTTCTCACTACAAAACAGCAGTGAGAATGCAAGGGGGCACAACCAGATGCCACAAACTGAATCAACTCTTCTTGCTTCTCAGAGGTGCACTCTGCATTCTCAGCATTGCTCTTTGACCTCCAACTCTGGCATGCACACCGATTCACTGGCACTGAAAGAAAACTCCACATTGGCTGACACACTATCAGTTCCACCACATCCTAAAGATGATTTTGTTGATGATAACATATTGCAGAACACGAGGGAAACCAACCCTTCTTCCCTAACTAAAGGGAAACAGAATTCTCAGGAATGTGTTCAGGTAAGTAACGCATTTCCTCGTTCCTTGGTTTGGTATGTTTTGCTGATTGCTCAGATGGAACTAAAGTCTGGTACTATAAATCAAGCCATTGCCGCTCTTAGGGTTGTAATCAACTAGCTTTTGCTCAGAGCAGGCCCATAGAAATTTCATAGCCATGACTAAATTAGGTCCATTAATTCCAACCTTGAGTAAAACTTGGTTGACTACAGCCATTAGATTTAAGGAGAATGTGACAGTCTAATCAATATTTAGCTAGGCCAGATTACATGTGATGCCTCTCTTTGAGAGCAGGATTAAACATGCACGTAATAGCTAAACATCTGCACATTAGGGGGCTATAAAGTGAGGCATATTTTGTTTGCTTTTACAGTGGTACCTCGGGTTACATACGCTTCAGGTTACAGACTCCGCTAACCCAGAAATAGTACCTTGGGATAAGAACGTTGCTTCAGGATGAGAACAGAAATCGTGCTCCGGCGGCGTGGCAGCAGCAGAAGGCCCCATTAGCTGAAGTGGTGCTTCAGGTTAAGAACAGCTTCAGGTTAAGAACGGACCTCCAGAACAAATTAAGTACTTAACCCGAGGTACCACTGTACTTTTTAAACTAAACTCAGTAGGGGGTATGATCATGAAACCTGTCCCCTGCCCTATTTCCTTTCTTCTCTGCTTTCCACTGAAGCCTTTTCTCCCCAGACTGCCTCCAATACCTGAAGTTAGCAGGGGAATTATTCCAAAGAGCAGACTGTGTGCAAGTAAGGAGGTGGAGCGGGGAGGTGATGCCCATGTCAGAGGTGGTTTTAGGGTAGCGTGACCGGTTTGGCTGCATCGGGTGACGGCACCACAGGGAGTGCTGCAGCAATGATGTGGAAAGGAGAGTGAGAAGTGGGTTGTGTGTGCCAAATTTTAGCATCACACAGGGCACCACTGAAATTTGAGAGCCCGAAATCTACCACTGCCCATGCCTGACTCACCGCCATATTCTGTCTGGCCTGAAAACAGAGCTCTCCCGCCTCACTTTATAGCCAAACCAGCACACATCTAGTTGCCCATTCCTTATTTGTATCACTGAATATTTTTTCAGAAATGCAGTAGCAGCCGCAATGAGAGCTTCCCTTCAAAAATAAATAGGAGCTTAAGGAGGAGGGAAAGGAGGAAACTTTCTTTGGGATCAAAGGGGAAGGGTTAAACTCGCCTTCTCCAAAGTTCCAATCCTAACTAAAATGAGATGCACTTATCACCACTGTTATGCAGGTTCAGTTTTTGCTCAGGGGTTGGGAACAGGTGAGTTTTGATTCTGTTCTGAAACAATTGTTTCACTAAAATGATTAAGAATTAAATTTCACTTTGAAATTCCTTTCTTCAGCAAGAACATGCAAGGTTAAAAGTGCCATTCTTGTGCCTTTTATAAAGACTAACATAGAATGCTTTATTCTTTTTCAGGAATTACATTTGCATAAACCTAGCAGGTACGTATTTCTTTTAAAAGAAAATGGTAAAAAAGAAGCACTCCCTCGTTCGTTTTTATACTTTTTGTTGACTCTTAATGAGCCATTAAGAGACAAGAGTGACATATTTACTGTAGCTAGCAAGATCTATATAAATTTAGGGGGCTAGCACTGTAACTTTCTGCCACTTTCACACCTTAATGAGAGTTGCTTTATAGGCTAAAAATTGACCCTCAGGCATGCCCCAGCTATTGTTTATTGAGAAGTCTGATAAGCATCTCTTTTATTGTTGTGTTATTGTTGTGTTATTTGTTATTAATTTTTGTAGCTTTTCTAAATGCATAAAGGTCACAGCCCAGAACACTGAAACCAATGGGTATGAGGCATGTGCCTGGTTGACATCAAGACCACATTAATACTACTTGTGGGCCACAAATCAAATCTGATCCATCCAGCAATCAACAGAATGCATTGTTTCTAGCAAATCTTGGAGGGGATAGCTCAGTTGGTTTGAGTGTGGTGCTGATAATGCCAAGGTTCTGGGTTTGATCCCCGTATGGGACAGCTTCATATTCTTGCATTGCAGGGGGTTGGACTAGATGATCCTCAGGATCCTTTCTATGATTCTCTGTCACTTAGGTTCCACAGTTTTAGAATTTATGATAATCTCTATGTGACCTGAACACACCATAGAGCAGAGGGTGTGAGATTTCACTTTGCTGTTAAGGTTGACTGACCACAGCACATATTTGCTTTTTCCAGACCTGAAACATTATTGACCGTTCACAAATCTACAATGCTAATACACCCTTGCAACAAAAATAATTCAGAAAAATCAGATCTGTTTCATGGAAAGTCAACCAAACAGCATCTTCTTGTTCAATATTATTTTTGCGGTCTTACGCTTATTTCAGTTTCATTACAAATTTTTGAACATTCATCCAACTGTAAATCTAAGGTACACAACTCACAAGAAAAGTCAGCAGAATAATCTTGTCATATTAGATTTTGGGGATGACTTAGTTTGCAAAACTGGCAGCAGGACTAGCAAGGCCACTACCCTATAGCCCCACTGTGGCCTGACACGGTTCAGGTCAATTCTGGACCTGACTTGACTTGCTTTGCTTAGCAAAGCCAAATCACAAAATCCACTGACAATTGCACAAACACAAACAGAATGTGTTTAGGTCACAAATGTCATTTAAAATTGGACTTCAGCTGTGATATGTGCAATATATCTTGCTAGCTACCTGCCATGCCAACACTACAAGGCTATCTTAGGGAAGGACAGCAGGTTCACTTGTATAAATGAGAATTCATTTAAGACAACCTTATGTGAATGTCTTTATCTTTTTAAAAAAATCTATATGAAAATTAATATTTAGATATTACTTAAATCTTAAACATTTTTGTAGTAAGCAGTAAGTAAATGTAATAAATAAATATGCTTATGGGTACATTTTTAAGCTGTATCATAAAATTTGTAGAATTGTAAAATCTGAAGGATAATTGTGTTCTGATGTGCAACTTTGGTTGCTACTTAAAAATGTGAACCAAACAAAATCCTCTCCCTTCCCTACCTAATGGTCATGTATTTGAATGTCATTTCTATTAAAAGGGTATAATGAATCTTCATTCCGTCATCTCACAGCTCTTTGGGATGGCGCACATGAAATGGCTGCTGTGTGGAAACCATTCTTAAATTAGCACTACAGCATCCATTGCCTTACCATGCCAATCAGGCTGTTCTCTTCATGCCATAGTATTTTACTTTTTAAGTCTGTGATGGTAAAGCAACTGCCAAAGCCACTTCTTAGAGATTGTAACATTAAAGATCATGCACTATTTTCGCATGGAGACATTTTCAATCAACCAGCTTCTTCACACACACACACAAGTTGAGATGGCACACCCAGGCGACACAATTCTCCAGTTTGCTTCAGCAGCTCCACTGAGTTTAATTCTCTATAATATAAATTGGTGGTTTTAATATTCAGTTGTTTATCAATACTGGGGGTCTTTAAATGGAAGATAAAGTAAAGCTTCGTGAGTTCCAGGGTTTTTTGACCATGACTGACTCTCCTCAAACCTGAGTATCATTTATTAGGAGGACCAAAGGCGTACGTAAGGGTTGGCGAAACCAGCAGAGGTGCAGGCCCAGGGGGAGCGCAAAAAACACCTATCAGATTATGGGATATATGACGTATGTGTGAGGGGTGGCATGACACCACTGCTGCGGTGAGATGAAGCACGGGAGAAGCTTCCTGTCCTTCTTGCACCACAAATAAAGTGGGTTTTTTTGGGGGGGGAGCATTGATACAGGTCCTTGCCAAGAGCACAAGGAACCCTAGGTATGCCTCTGAGCAGTAGTAGCAGCACACAATGTTTGTGTTTGCCTTGCAGTCTATACAACTCAGCTGAACGGAGGCACAGCTCAGTGGTGGTGAGCTTGCCTGGATTCGAGATGTTCCCAGGAGACCTGCTGATATCAGACAGTGCAGCAGAATTCCTTTACCATTCAGCATCTCTGCACAGCTCAGGTGAATACAGATGCCATTGGAAGAGATGGCCCTGTTTTTTATTCCCACCCCCCTCTCCCCATGAAGTCAAATTTACCATGAAATTCTTTATCGTTTCTATAGCTAACAATGTCCTTGTTTCTGTTCATTAGAATCCAAAAAGCCCTGGTGGCCATTTGCTAAAAAAGGAACTGTGAGTATTTTGCAAAACCCTCTTTCTCTCCATGCCCCAGTATTTCTATATATATATATGGGGTTTGTCTCCCCCAGCAGTCCCCAGAGCACATCTTTATTGCAGGACAGGTTTTGGAATGTTGTTTTGAATAAAATGTAAAGAGAGCAGATTTTTAAAAGTTGCAGACATGCACCCAAACACACTTCAGGTGTTGCTTGGACATGCAGATATTTATTTAAAAAGGAACGGGGAAACATCTCTAAGTGACTGTGAAAGAGAGTGAGAGAGAAAGGTAACTGCTTACCTTTGGGAATGCAGCAGCTCCTGGAATCAGATGCACAGGCCTTGAGTTCTGTGAAACATTACAGCTGAGCCAGCACCTCAGCAGCCACCTGTTTTTCAGCAAATTTAGGCTATATGGCTATATGGACACAGAATCCTTGCTTCTAACTTTTCCACTCTGGCACTTTTAATAGAAAGAGATTGGTTCACCACTATGTTTATGGAGGATGGATGCCCAGTGTAATTAAGGTTCCAGTTCTGTAATTCTGCTGAATACAAGAAATTAAGGAAATATATCTACCTAACAATGAGGGACGCAGGTGGCGCTGTGGTCTGAACCACAGAGCCTAGGACTTGCCGATCAGAAGGTCGGCAGTTCGAATCCCTGCAAAGGGGTGAGCTCCCGTTGTTCAGTCCCAGCTCCTGCCAACCTAGCAGTTCAAAAACACGTCAAAGTGCAAGTAGATAAATAGGTACTGTTCCAGTGGGAAGGTAAATGCCATTTCCGTGCGCTGCTCTGGTTCGCCAGAAGCAGCTTAGTCATGCTGGCCTCATGACCCAGAAGCTGTCTGCGGACAAATGCCAGCTCCCTTGGTCTATAGAGCGAGATGAGCACGCAACCCCAGAGTTGTCTGCAACTGGACCTAACGGTCAGGGGTACATTTACCTTTACCTTTACCTTTTATCTACCTAATATATCTAGATATATTAGGGGAATATATCTACCTAATGAATATTGGTATGACCATCTTTCACTACAGTGGCATGCATATACTTTGTGTCAATACTGACTAATCCATTATTTTAAAATAGACTAATCATTTATGGATCTATATTCTGTAGTAGTTAGTAATCACGTTACAATAAATTCAAAATTTGGTGCATTTTCAAGATTCAGTTTGGGGAAAGCTGTCTGCTTGCACAAATCACAATTTGAGGAAGAATCTGCAACATCCTCTATCTGCAACATCTTCCCCATGGCTATGGATTTCACAGATTTACTGCTGCGTTTTTGTTTTTTTTTTTGTCTTTGAACAGAGTAAAGACAAACACAAACAAATATCAGATCTGGAAAACTGTCTGTCCACAGTAACCCTCAACATGCCAGATTGTAGTGATTATGAATTTCAAAGTGTTAAGGTACGAAAATGCTTCATATACTATAATGATACAATTTGTGTGTTGGTCCTCATTTTTATTCTTCTGTTCTTCTGTTTGGTTTTCCTTAACTCTGCAATCCTATACCCACTTATTTATATATGAGCATAGACAGATGCGCGCACACACACACACACACACACAGTGCTTCCAGACTGTCACTATTTTGAAGGAGGGTTTCAAGTGCATACCAAAACTTTAGGTTTGTGCAACTGAAGTAGATAAAGGCACTCTGGGTTCATTCACACTTCCACATGTGCTGTGCCTAGAAAGCACAGGTCTGAGCAGTTTTACACTTGACCCGCTCCTTTCCGAGGGAAAACCCACTCTTTAGTGTTCAATTGGAACAAACGGCAATCCGGGGGAAACCCAACTTGACATTTGCTCTGACTTGGCACTAAAGAACTGTTTTCCCCAAGGGAAAGCAGCAGGAGAAGCGGAAACACAGATAAGCCCTCTGTCACCTTTGTGACAGCACCACAAATCCACTTTAATAAAAACTCTTCCTTCTTACAGTTAGGAAAGAGACATACTGAAAAATGTGGGGTGGATGAATGGGAACATGTATAAACACTCCATAAACAAATTGGGATAAATGCTCAGTAAACTGGTCATCTGGAAGAAAATATACACGTATACATGAATATATGAACTTCTCAGTAGACATGGATTATACTTCTTTTCGGTGTAAATTGTTGAGTACTTCTAAGTATACTTTAAGAGTCTTTTACAATGTAACACTGAAGCAGAAGCAGAAACCAATGGCAACCCAAACAAGGGTATTTAGCACTAACAACAGCTTCAGTGATTGAACGGAAGAGCTGTTTGTATGGAAATGTGCATAAATTTTTGTGTTTGTGCTCTCAACTGATAGGGTAAAACTTGGCAGGAAATCATGAATATGCATCAGCTTGAGCCAAAAGCCAGTGGTGATCAGTTAGATACTAAGAAGGAAGAAGCCTTGTGGGAGCTTTTCACAACTGAATGCACCTACCTTCTTGATCATCTCCAGGTTCTCAAAACGGTAGGTTTGGATTTTGCAACTGTTTCCTTCCCATTGTGGGGTGTTTGCTATGTCACTAGCTACCAATCTAAATGGGAAGTACCTTCGCACAACCGTTTGTTCCTACAGGAGGCAGCCATTTGCAATTAGCTCATAGCAGTACTTAAAGACGGATCTCTGTCTTGCAGCTCACTGGAGCATATTCCGACAAGCGTTAAAAACAGGCGACAGATTAGAAAGTGCATTGAGCCGTTCAGCTACAGAGCCATCACTTGTTAGAAAATTGGGTCACAGACTTGGAAGGGCATCTAACCTCCAACTGATGCAGGAAATTCACTGCTCCAACTTGCCCAATAGGTGACCATCCAACTTCTGCTTTAAAAAAAATCTAACGAAAGAGAGCCCACTATTTTCTGAGGCTGCCTGTTCTACTGCTGAATATCTGATGCCTTCAGGAAGTTCTTTCTAATGATTAGTTAAAATCCCTTTTTCTTGTAAATTGAACCCCATTAATTTGGCTTCTAGCCTTTGGATCCCAGCAGAAATCCAAGCATGGCTCTGTTTTTCTGCAGCTTCTCACTTTTGGCTTGCACACAAAACTCTGGAATTTGTCTTTCTAACCACCAATATGTTGAGGGAGGGGGCCCTACCCATTTTCTGTCTGGCACAGAGCCACTTCCTTTGTTACCTTAATGGCCCATAATCAGAAGGTCATCACCTCACCAGGGAGCTAACCTGGCTATTCCAGGAACTGAATCTGTGCTGGACCCAGGAATTAGAAGGGGACTCAGGCATACAACCTCTGACCCATCTACCCCAAAATTCATAACAGCATTTAAATTCCTGAGCTATGTATCATCACTTGTTTTGAATTATAATTAGGTCAAGGTTATTTTCACCATATCAGCAGGTGGGTCTTTCAAAGAGAATGTTTTCAGAGACCAGCAAAGTATTCCATGGAAAGTCCTGTTATGATGAAGATGCCTCATCCTCAATAATATTATATGTCACTTGAATAGCTTGGCTATACCTGTTTACTAGATGTAAGGCTCACTTAGTTCAGTGAGACTTACTCCTTGGTTAATTTATAAGGATTGCAGCCTAAATGCTTTAGAATCTAAGCCATCAGGATAGCTTGATTCAAATTAATTGAGTGGCCATTTTACTGAGACAAGGAAATTGCTCTTTTCAGCTTGTCAGCAGAATTTCCAATGTTTCCTAGAATGTGACTGCTTGTGTGTTTAGTGCATGCATAGAGGGTCTGTGGGGAAAGATTTCAGGTTTCAGGGCAAGGAGGAAGGAATGTTTGTTAAGTGCTAGAGGCAGGTGTATAGCAGCAAGACGACAAATGAAGCCCATTTGTTATGTTTACTAGAGCTATAATGAACTTGGGTAGGGAATGTTTTTCGGAAAAGGAAATCTGTAGCAACCCTGGGGTTCAGGGATTTGGAGAAGAAATAACTAACTAGGCATTGATGTGTTTTCTGAAGATATTTATGGATACATTAAGGTACCTGCAATGCAAGGAGTTTCTCTCGGATGTGGACTCTGGGCTACTGTTTGCCAACCTAGAGGAGTTAAATCAGGTGAGAAAACACTTTAATTTGTAGATTGACCATGAACATGTATCAGCACTGTGGCTTTTCATTCTACAGCTTTAATACAATAGTTAAATCAAAACTATATTAACAAGCTCAAAGCAGTGTGGGTCCTACTATTTAAATACTTCCTTTGGGAAAATTAGACATAAGACCTGTGGAATTACATCTTCTAGTGCATTTGTCTTAAAGCAACAATGGCTCACTTATAGTCTATGTATCAAATGTTGCATTCAAATACACAACAAGTCATCCCTGGGTATTTGTTTGGAGTAGTGAAGCTGAATATGATCACTATGCCTTACATTTTTCTTCCACTGAATTATAAAAACAGAGAGCTCATTTAGTGTCTTGCAGTCGAATCTTTCATACAAAGGACATCTTAAATAAGATTCTCTTACTTAGGTGAGCCTCAGTTTTGTGACCAGTTTCTTCAGTGCTATAAAGGATCACCTTGTTCAGCCTATGCCTTCCATAGATTTCATCCCTGTGCTCACAAAGGTAAGAGTGACAATGTGTTAAGCTTAGCTGATGCATCAGTAAATGGTTAAAGAGCAGAAAGCAGAGTCTAGGTGTAAATGGACAGTTTTCACTGTCGAGAAATGAAACAGGGATCTGCATCAGAACTGCTGCTTTTTAACTTGTTCAGAAATGACCTAGAGTTTACACCCTGACCATGGCATGATCCATCCACAGTTAAGTTGTTTGTGTGTGTGTGTACACATGCTTAAGGTTGTAGCCCCCATGAAACTACAATTCCAACTGCAATTGAGTTTGACTGACAGAGGGAAACAAGGGGAAGGGGGAAGGGAACCATTATTTCTTGACCAGACTTTGTTTTTAAAGTATTTTCCTCTTCTCTCTGTACCTAGGGTATATAAACACTCACTTAGATAACTACTTCATACCTCCAGTGAAGTAGGCTCTGGCCCATGAGAGCATAAATCACAGTACATTTCTTACAGTGCAGCCCTATGCAAGTTTAGTTGTGCTCATGGTGCAATTTTGCTCATGTCTACTCAGTGTAAGTCCCATTGACTTCAGTGAGGCTTATTCTCAGGTAAGTGAGCACAGGAGTGCAGCTTTACAGCCAGGTAAATGGGTATAACGTTACAGCTTTAACATTTAAGATGCCAGCATGAATTTGTTGGCTGCATGACTACCACTCTGGAATTCATCTTATTCTTGATTATGCGGAGGGGTTGATGAGTTTTAAGATTCAGCACCACTAAGCAAAGACCCGAGAATGACCTGAAGCAGCCAGCAAGAATGTGGAGTTGAAATTCTCCAAAAGTCCATGTCTTTTTGTAAACAAAAAATATAGTCCAGCGAAAGGTGTTTTAAAATTCATTTATTTCAGTGGGGATTTTCTGTAGCAAAGTGCTATGTATATTTAGGCAAAAGTGAATCCCAATGACGTCAGTGGAACTTACTATGAAGGTAAGTGTGGGTTGGGCTACTATCTTAAGCACACACAGGAAAAAAAGCTTAACTGTGGATGGATCGTGCACTGGGCGTGGTGATCCATCCTTACTATGAAGTAACAAGGAATTATCTGCCATCTCAGATATCTCTGATCACAGAGGGTTGTGGAAAAGTACAAAAAAATATTATGTGCAATAAATGTATAGACTCCTTCAGGAGGAAAGGCACGGTATAAATCTAATAAATGAATATTTGGTTCTCACAATGCCAAGAGGAATATGCAACATTAGTCATACTGCAAGTGGACTCATTAAAATCATAGAAGCATAGAACTGTAGAGTTGTAAAGGATCCCAAGGGCTTGCAATGGGCTTGAGTCTATTCTGAGTATAACTTAGTTTTTCATATTGCCCTCAATGACTTACATTTTTGTCTTGCAGTATTTCCAAGGGAACCTGTGTCAGAGTCACCAGATGTACTGCCTGAATTATACCTCTGCTATCTTTTACTTGGAAAAACTGAAGAAAAGAGAAGATTTTGGGATCTATTTGAAAGTAAAGCAATTGTTTTGCTGTTATCCTTGTTCAACATTTACAGTTGTGATATTACAGCGGCAGTTTTTTCAAAGTCAATTGCTATCATAGTTCACCGATACGATTAAGGGTGAACTAAAGTATACATTTAATGAACTAATAACATCAATACCCATCCTTGTTCATCAGAAATCCCTATCTCTACTATCATTCCCCTCCACTTCATGTGGCTTATACATCAAGAAATGTGTCATTTTAAAGTAAAATATGCTATTGGGGGGAATTATTGGGGATGGTTTTCTTATGCTGGCCTGAACTGGGGACACCTGAGAGTGTCTGTAGGGAAGGAATGAATTTTTATGGTATTTGGAGCCTATGTTGTTTAGGGTTTTAAGCACTAGTGCAAGCACTTTGAATGGGGCCTAGAAATATGTGGAAATCTAGTTCCTGTGGTAAAGTGGGTGTGCTCTGCAAACTTTTCCACCACCACCTTGAGGCCTGTACACACAAAAGACTTATCTGCATGATATTTCCCTTCCTTTTTTTTATTTAGGTGGATGATTCATCCCAATTATTACCACATTAAGTGTGAGGTATGAGAGAAGGGGGTGCATTTATTCCTCTGCTATGGGAACTGGGTTGCCATTCTGAAAGCAATGACAATGCAGGGTTCTCATGAAATTTATTTTACTTAAGAAATGTGTATCACAATGCTGGTTGGCGGTATGAAGCATTATTCTGCTTACTGTCAAGAGTACACTTGTTAATCCTAATACAAAATTTATCTGTATTCGATAGTGGTGTGAACAGAACGAGCGGTGCAAACGTCTCCATCTCGCAGAACTGCTGGTTGCCCCTTTGCACAAACTGACCCGCTACCCCCTTCTCCTGAAGAACATATGGAAAAATACAGAGGCAGCCGAGAAATCTGTCATTGGTACAATTAAAGAAAAGGTGGAAAAATCTATAAGTGAGTTGGAGAAGGTCTGAAACTGCATTCTTGGTTCAGAAGTTGTTCCGAGTTGTTTTCACAGAGCCAGTCCTACCAATAGGCAGAGTGGTATGGCTGCCTCAGGCAGCAGGTTTTATGTGGCATGAAAAAGCAGCTAGTTCTTTAATTTATTATGCTTGTATTTTTATACCAGGGATGGGGAGAATTGCTTGTGGGATTTCATGCCTCAGGTGCCAAAACAACTTGGCTGATGTTGTGTGCTTTGCACTTGACTTGGGTTTGGGTGGGGAGAGCCTGAATACCATTTGCTCCTCAGCCTCATCCAACAAAAATACCTTGGGCCAACCTTTCTTGCTCAGCATTTAGGCATGCATGAAGACTGTATGGCAAAAACTATTCCCCTAGGAACTGAAACATGAAAATACCTTCACTAGCTACAAACAAAAGTAATATTATGTAAACCAGCACATTCCAAAAAACACTATAAGCTTGATAACTCATATTTGGTATGAAACATGAACATTGATGCTCATACTCTTAACATCCACAGGGATGACAACATTGACTAGAATATATCAATACAGAAGGCACTCAGCTCTCCATATAGAGAATGCTAAGGCCCATATTAATGAAGGACAGAGATTTCATTTTCATTAAGCCAACCTTGCTGCTCCATGGTGTATCTTTTCAGGAGATTTGGAAGGGAAAGTGAAATGGCTGGATAACTTCCAGAAATTTAAACAGCTACAGGAAATTATAGTTTGGCCTTCACTTTGGGATCAAGAAAAAAGATTTTTTGTTCCTGAGGTAAGCAATTTTTATTCATCCGTCTTAAAAATATGTCCTTAGCAGGGTCTTCTTAAATCTGCATAAAACTGTTAAAATAACATGGACAAATATTCATGGCTTAACTTCAGAATATGTAACTAGCTCTAGAATGTTCTATATACGCTCTGGAGAGGTGCCTGCACACAGACTACGCAGATCTTAGACCAGCTCCCATACAAGTGAGCACAGAAAAAGTAATAAGCAAATATGGAGGGAGGGAGAAGAGGGAGAGCTCTTCATGATGAGAAACTGGAGTGAGTAATTTGGAGGACAATAAAATAATATGGGGACTGAAGGTGGGATGTAAATAGATTTATTTGGTAATGATTCCTGAGGAAATCAATGGGGAGGAAGCAAAAATGGAAGCGGAAAAAGAAAAGAGGTAGTTCTTTGTAATGACACAGCATTTATAAATGGATTCAGACAGAAGGCAAGGAATTACCGTATTTTTCGCCCTATAGGACGCACTTTTTCCCCTCCAAAAATGAAGGGGAAATGTGTTTGCGTCCTATGGGGCGAATGCAGGCTTTCGCTGAAGCCTGGAGAGCGAGAGGGGTCGGTGCGCACCAACCCCTCTCGCTCTCCAGGCTTCAGGAAGCTATCCCCCAGCCCAGCAAGCTCCGGGAGCGATGGCGAAACTGCGAGCAACTCCGCCATCGCTCTCGGAACCGTTCTGGGGGCTGGGGTCGGGGGAAGCTCGGGCTTCCCCCGCCCCCAGCCCCGCAAGCTCTGGGAGCGATGGCGAGGTTGTGCAACCTCGCCTTCGCTCCCGGACCCCCAGCCCCGAGGCTAAAAACGAAGCCAGGACAGCGAGCAGGATCCATCCCGCTCGCTGTCATGGCTTCTTTGCTCTTTGGGGCAAAAAAATAAGTGCGTCCTATGGGCCAGTGCGCCCTATAGGACGAAAAATACGGTAATGTGACATTGGCCATGCCCATTTTGACATGCAGCCCTCTAAGGGTTGGGCATGAGTCAAGCTGCACCAGACTGAGAAAGGTTAGTCACTGCTGCTGTATAGGATTGGCTGTCAAGGTGGTATTTGTCTAACACATGTAGCCAGTCATCCAATTAAATAGTCCATTGTATTATTTCTGTTACTCAGGATTTTAATTGCACTGTTACCACTTTTTATTCAAAAGTTCCATGATTATCTCTCTTTCTCCATCACCAGTGTCTCAAGAACTTATTAAGAGAAAACCCAAATGAAAACATCTTGTCACCAACAAAGAGATTTCTTGTTCATGAGGGGAGATTAACCCTAGCAGGTAAAGAGTGCTTTCTGTATCATAGTTACGTAACAGAAATGTACACCTAACTCAAACTAATCTGCAAACCTAAAGAGAGGATATGAATAAAAGTTGGACAAGTGCTGTATAAAGATGTTATGAACCTCCATGTTCAGCATGGGAGCATAGAGTGGGGTGCATCACCTAACACACACACCCCGGTGTCATGTCTACACCTGACATTTGCTCATACAACACGAACATCTGTAGAGAGGGCTTTCCTGCATAGAGCTATACATGCAAAGGCATGCCCAGAATATGGAACCTCAATCATTCAGTGTTCCAGATTCTGATGAAGGCTTTGCATATACAACTATATGAGCAAAGGCCCCTTGCTACAGATGTTTGTGCTCTATGTACAGACATCACAGAAGGGGTGTGTGCTGTTAGTGGGGTTACTCAGTTCAACACCACTCCTTGCTTCCATGTTATTGAACGTGAGTGCTCATGACACCAAAATAAGGCTGCAGTCCAACAAGGTCAAAGAATAAAAATATATTCAGAAAGAATAAAATCAGTGTGAATGATGTCTCAGTACCACTCTTCTAGAGGGGGAAAAACAAGATGTGTAAAAGTAGGTCTTTTAAATAAATATGCTTTTCCAAAAGAGAAATATGTTAAACTTCAGTGTTTTCTGTTCATAATTAGCAGTCAAATTTGAACTAGATTGCTGAGAGTGAAGCATACAACAGATTATTTTTTTAATCTGCTGTCTGCTTTTGAAATGAACTGGCAGGCGGTGATATACTTAAGACTGATAAAAATGTAACAGCTGATAGGCCATGGAATGTTACAAATAATTTGACAATATATATCCCTGGTTATTTTTGCTCTATAATCTGTTTGATAATCTTTTACTCGTGGGAGATTCAGTCATTTCCCTAGCTCTGCTAAAAACTATTAAAATATTATGTGAGTTATGCAAGCAAGTGATCCACCATTCTTCCAGACTACTTTGGCTGCCAATGTATTGCAAATGTTAGACAACCCAAACTACAAAGCTGAATATTTGTCACATCCAGAGTTTTTTATATTAAGGAACAGGTGATATGGGGCAGCTGTTGGCTTCCTATTTCCTTTAAAATTAATCTCTGTAGCTTGAGCCATAAAACTTGAAAGTTCAGTTCTATTCATTAAAACAAACTTCCTAGAATTCTGGAACTAGAAAAACTATGCTTGAATTTCTTAGCAAGTAATTTTCCGAATTATTTCAGTCAAGATAAATCCAAAAGCAAAATGTTGTGATGAATTTAAGGCATAAAATGTGAAGTTTTGTTACAAAATAAAAAACAGTGTTTACTTTCGCATTTATTCCTTAGAACATATGAGGCTTGTTGATGTCTACCTGTTTCTGTTTGATGATTTGCTGTTGATTACAAAGCCTAACCGGCAGAAAAAGGTAAGAAGAAAGGAAAAGAAAAATCAGCTACAGCTGTTGCGCTCATGCACATTTTGATCTGTAGGTGCAGTAAACACTTACGTAATATTTTTAAATCATTAAAGTAAAAATGTTGAGGAAAGAGTTGTGAATTGCTGACATATCAAAGAAATGAAGAACAGACCCCGGCAATTATATGATACTTAGGGGCAGTGCCTCACAGTGGGCACATTTTGGTAACCCCTTAGGAGTACAGGTCCATATTTTGATTTCATGCAAGTAGTCACTTTGCAATATGCACTTATTTTTTAAAGAAGCTGCAGTCACTGGTGGCCCAAGCCTGGTTCCTTTTAACCCAACACCTCCTATTACCTTGTTGACTTAGATGTAAAAAGCAGACATCTGAAAGTAGACATGCTTTAAATGTACGGTGTTGATGTAACTAAGGTTTCATGTGCTTTCAGATACATTGATGCACCATAGTTTATTTGTATTTTAAAGAACTGCAGCATAGCAGTCCAACTGAATGCCAAGTTGTTACAATTAACAAAAATTATTAGAGCTTGAAATGTGTTTATGATACAAAGCTAGCGCCATGGAACAGAAAAATAAGCATTTTAATCTTGTGGCAATTTTGACTTAAGTTCCAAGAGCTGCCATTCACAAGTACTACATGTCAGAAATGCCACAACTACAATCCGGAATATAGAATGCTTAGGTAACGTATTGGTTTTCCTTTCTGTTTCAGAAATCTGTAGTTTCTGACCTGAGTTTAACACCTGTTGGCCCCTTTTTCACTCCCGAATTGCAATCTTTGCTTGAAGGTGGTGGCTATTGCACTGTGCTTGACCAGCCTATCCCATTAGACAGAATGGTAGTAAGAAATATTGAGTCCTTCCACATAACAGGTATGTTAAATACGTTTTACATATGGCTTGGTTACATTCTTCAAATATTGAGTAGATGCATGGCATATATGTAGGGACAGCTATTTTCTGTGCCCATCTTAAATAGCTCTCTCTTAAAATATTTGGAACACAATACAAATCAGCCAGTTGCTACCCCTCAAGCAAAATATATTCATTTCAGTCATCCCACCACAATTTTTCTTCAGTCTCTGGGATGTATATAGGTCCAACAGCTTACAATGGTAGTGAAGAGAATTTACATGGTAAATCAGAGAATGTGTGCTGAAGGAAATCAGTTTTGATCAGACAGACCTGCCTCACTTCAGGATTAAAGATGTAACACCACTGTCTGTGCTAAACCAACCAATGTTCAAAAGAAATTTAATTTTTTGGGAACACTTCTCATTTTGCCCACTATTCTAAATTGATCAGCTGAACTATCTTCACTCCTTTTCCTCTCCATGGATTCAGACTTGCTCCTGTTTCTGTATAAAATTAGAATCCAAGTGAAGACCTAGCTTTTGCATTTCCCATCAATGTGATTTTATGAGACCCCTTGTGATCACTGGCTTAATATCCATCTAAATCATGTCCTCACTTCTGAGTCTTTATGATATGCAACTATGTCAAATTGTCAAAAAAAGGACAAAGTGCCAGCTTTGCAGGTGGCAGCTCATTATGTAATAATTGTTGTTTAGAAAATAGTTACACCACATAACATGTAGTTTTATTTTCCCTAAAGCCAGAAGATTGCAGCTCACTCCCAATCCCTTATCCCTGGTTACTTGTATATCCAAAACCAAGCTTAAGTATTGTTGATATTTCATGCAGTCTAAAAGTCAATTATTGGATGTATACAAGTTCCACTGAAGTACCAGTTCATGTGGCCTGTTTCAAAGGTAACAGATATTTGCTCCTTATAGAGGTCTGGAGTAAAAGCTGTGGAAGATGTCTTACCATGTGTCAATTGTTTTCTTAGTTTTCGGACTACGAAATGTTTTTCTAATACAGCACAGAAATCGGTTTCAGCAGTGCATAGCAGCCTTTATACTACAAGCACAGACTGAGTCTCTCAAAGTAAGTATTTTATTTTACGAACATTAAAAAAAATAAACACAAGCAATTCACCTAAGATAATGCTAACACCTTTCCCCAAATGATTTGAGCTAGTTTATTTGTCTGTCTTGGGTACTGTGCTTGCCCCACTAGAGTGAGATACCCCTTTCAAAAATATGAATAGATGCTATTGCCTAATTAGCTATATGGAAAGTATGTATCCCTAAGTTACTTTTGTTATTAAATTAAAACTTCTTTTTCACCTTACAGAAAACATGGATGTCACAGATGGAAACAGCAATATCAAATTGCACAAAGAGAGAAAATAAACCCAAAACTTCATTTTTTAGTTTACCTGCTGAATCATCTGAAATTTAGTTGTGGTTCATTGGGAACCCCTAGACAATGTAACAGATTTACTTTTTTTTTTTTTTTTTAAAGGCATGCAAAATGTCTGTGAACATTTTTTGGAGCCTGGAAAGGTAAAACTCTGGAAACAATCTTGCTAGAACAGAATTCAGAGAAGGAAAAGAGCAGCTTGGATGGTCATTATTCAAACTGTAGTGCTATGCTTATGGCCTTTGGTTCCTCACAGGATGGCTTGTTTTGGTTTAGCATTCCATGATAAAAACTAGAAAATATATGCGATATGATATGGGGAAGAGAAAGGAAACTAGTGCCATTAAACCAACATCTTTAAAACTGCCTTTACAAGTTCTTCTGCAGTCAAACTGGGGTACCAGTAATCATGAGACCCGCTTAAATCAGAGTATTCTGTTTTTTGATCAAATACTACCGGGTTATGAAAGAAAGAAAATCTGCACAATTTTTTCCTACCTCAGAAACCATTTATCCAACCACCAAAATGTCAAACAAAGTAACAGTCTAACACTGATCTTCACAAAAACACCTCTCACATTAGATTATAGAATCACACAACCCATTTTATAGCAGTGTGGTCTCCTTGAGATTACCTTCCTCACCTCATCAGCGCTTTGAAGAAATTTCATCAACATTATGCTACAAAGAGAGATACCTGCACAACTTGGAATGGGGTTAAACTAAGAACTGAGAAATTGTAATTTCTGGCTGTAGCGTTCCAGAAAAAAATTACTCCAACCCCCAATTAAAGCTGCAGGGTAAAATCAGTTCATACTGACTATACAACACCAAACAGGGTTGCACATACTTTTGAGGTATACACTTTTTTGTAAAATTCTGGGTAAGAACCACACAGCTTCAGTAATTATTAGTTCAAAGAATTTTAGAATGAAGCAGAATGGCACCAATTAGAAGAGCCATTTTTATCACCTTTACCACAATTATGTTCATGATGTAACACCAAAAGGATACTACTCAACTTTGCCTGACCACTATCTGAATTTGCAAATGAATAAAAGTGGCTACAGCGACATCAAAAGCACAGCAAATTAAGTCACTGCAAATGGTCTATTAGAAATGTCTAATTTTATTTCAGCCCAATAACAGATTAGAATACAAAAGTAACATTTCCACAAGTATCCACTCATGTTATTTCATACAGAATTAGCTGATGTAGGGTGTCACTCCTCAGCTTTCATTACTTTCCAAATGCAGAGTTTAGGGATTACAGTGCGTACTGAACTAAACTCTTTCACAATGTAAGGCACAACTACATGACCACAAGTCATAAACACACCACTGAGAGGAGGACTTGAGAGAATCCAACTGATAAAAATGGTCATGCAAGACTATCTACAGATAATGTGAGTTTAAGGGTCCAGTTGAAAAAGAAGTGCAGTGTTGTGTAGGTAAGGCTACCTTAAAACATCTGTAAATATAAGGTAAGCACAGAATTTTTCCAATTCTAATTTATACAATTATACATAAAAATCAGTAAATAGTATGCACAATATTCACATCTGCGACCATAATAAACCAATCATTAAAAAGAGGCCAACAGGACAGTACACTTTGTGGCACACATCCATTATAAGCTTAATAGCATTTGTCAACTTCTTGTCTAGACTGTTGCAAACAAGAGGCTAATTTAATGGCATGTTCATGTTTAAACCAGTATCCAGTTTGCCAATATTACATACAGGTGACAAAGTCCAACAGACTTATGACCAGGACAGCTTGAATTGGTTTCATTCCTGTCCAACAGCTACAAGTTTGTAGAACTAAACTACATAGGTCAAAAGAGCACAAGTGAGCCTAGAATAATTGGAAACTACATTAGCATACATACCCAAATATTACATTTTTGGTGAGACAAAACACTTGGAAAATTTGGCAGTTACCACAAATCATACCTAACATTATAGTGAAGGAATCCTATCAAAATGCACTAAAGTTGAATTTCACATCAAGAGGTAGTTTAAATGAAATCTTACATAGTGGCATCAAGTGTCAGAATGAAGGGGGGGTTGTGTGTTTATTTTAAAGGGTTTTTTTTAATAATAATTTTATTACAAAAGTGACAAATCCTATACAAGCAGCATTTTGGACAGATTTCTATTATAAAAGGTTTCAGTGTTTGCTAACCCAACGTGACATTCTTTCTTATCCCTTTGGTGACGAGAGTTGGGATTTAACCACATGGTAGAATGTACATTGTATGAGCACCAACCCTAGGAAATCTGGATCTGCCACACCAGTCTGTTTATATATCAACAATGAACAATGTATTTAGATACTTTAAAACTCAAAGCCAGTAGGTAAAACTTTTCCATATTGGGGTGTAAGGAGGGAACGATGACTAAGAAAGAAGTCTTCGCTGAACTTAGTGGCTCTTTAATTGGCACACAAGAGAAAACAGATTAGTTTCCGACCATCAGATATGTTCTACTGAATTGGGTGAAAACCCTTCCATTTGCCTGCTGTACAATGACTGCATAGAATATTGCATCACTCCATTAACCAAGACAGAACAGTCAATGCTGACAAATTGCAGCATTGTAAAATTGTAACTATTTTATAAATGCATACTACTCTTAAGTAGTATACTGGTTTTAAGATTTCTAGCAATTCAAAACAGAATGTGAACACAAACATGTCTGCTCTTAGGTATAGGGATTTTTGTATGTACTTATTGCTATGGCCTGGAAAACAGACCATCCATGTAAATTCTAGAGAAACTCAATACTAAGAAAACAAAAGCTGATACATGAACTATGGAAACCAGTCAACTAATAATACAAATGTGCAAAATTGCTATGTCCACATTTTTCGATTCTTAAGTCAAACAATGCTTGTTAAAACCATGTAAATTCCTTTGCTATATATACACGTGTCCTCTGGAGCACTTAAGAATTAAGGATGCAATATTCCTAACAAAAATGAAGTTACTAGGAATTTCAATGAACACTCCTCTAAGAATACATAGCCTTGTGGACCAATTACTACAACAATTCTTGCAAAACAGCTGTTTCATTTCTTGCATATTATGTTGGTTACACGAGAAAGAAAGTGCATAGTGCAAGTGACAATGCTATTATCTCCCCCTTCCTGAGGTTCTTAGGGGGCATTTCCACTGAAGTAGCTCAAATTTCTGAACTACGGATCCAATCTTATGCTCTTTCTCTGAACAAAATGGATTTTCCCTTGCCTCCATATATACGTTCGCAACTTCTAGGGCTGTGATGTGTTGTCAATTAACAAATCAAACCACTTCAATATATTTTCATCTGTTTGAATGAGGGAGCAGATGGTTTTCAGATATTCTTTTGAAGGCAAGTATTTACAAAAACTCTGACTGGCAAAGGCCTCTCCCCATTCTGTTGCACAGAACAAAGGACGGCTTTTCTAAGATGGTGCCTGCTGCAACACATGCGAGCATCATCTAAAACCAAAATACTCTTTTCCTTCAAAACTTTAATTTATTCATAAGCATGTTTAATTGAATAAAACTGGTGTGATTAATCGACTAAGATTTATTTAATCAAGTAAAAGCCCTAATAATTCCCAATTACCTTAGTAGATGCTCTGGATATTACTTTACCATTTACTCCTTAAAAAAACCACACCAAATAGATGGGGGAAATGTCTACACATGTAGCCGCTGAATGATTAGATGTAAATTTGGCATATGGAGCATGCATATCCAACTCAAAAAAAATTAAGGTTTCATACATCCTATTTGTACTTGTTCATCTGGACATTTTTGAACAGATAAAGCAGCTTTATACTAAATCAGGCCATTGAATCAAATGTCGTCTGCTCCCGTTGTCAGCAGCCTCTCAAAAGTTCCAGGCAAAAAAATTGTATTTGCTGGACCTGGAATGTATGAAACATTTTTTATCTTGAGGCATGAGGGATTGAACTTGGGATCTTCTGAGTGCAAAGGTCATGCTAGCCATGACCCCTCTACAAATATATTTCTGTTAAGCTGTTTGCTTCTCCATTTCTTCCTAGTGCTGTACTTCCATTTCTCAGTCTACAACATTCTTCCTTGCTGGCATCACTTCCTTCATAGCATTTTAAATAGACCACATATCCAAAAGGTGTTAATTTTAAATGTCATGCTGTATTTTAGTCACTCTAAATTTTACAAAGTACATTATTTTGTGTGATTACAATGTGCATAGAAGTATGTATATTATCCTCGCCTCTCAAATCAAAAGAGAAGAAAAGATGGGGCTGAAAGATGACATTTCCTGCCTAAATCCAATCTTTAAAAGATTGGATTTTAAAAGAGCAATTTCAGTACCTTCTCATTTGGACGAAACATGACACCGTTGTACTATAAAACCTACGACTGAGATGTACCTCATTAAAGCAAGAGAAAGGCTCTTGGTGATGGAATCTCAGTTACTTTAAAGCCATTAGCAGAACCTGGAATTTCACTTCCATTTGGCAGGGAGGTATGGCAAATCTCTAGCAAGAACTAAGAAACTGGAGACAAAAATTTACACTGAGAAAGGTAGAATTCCAAGGTGACTACTTTCTTTCCTAATGCTGTATTTTTTAATTCCCACACTTCACAGTATTTTTTCCTGGGAACTTCCACGCAGTGTTTCCTGTGAAGTGAATTGAACAACAACAAAGATTTTATAATAATAATAATAATAAAATTAACTAAGGAGAAGACCTCTGAAAAGGCAAAAACATGGCCCAACCTCAAAAAGTTTCAGAGCAAGACCTTGCATATTAAGGATGATGTAGTCCACTTAAGTACCTTTGATATGATGAAAAGTATTCTTAGAGATGTCAAGCATACATTATACACTCGACACTTGCTTTCATTTTCAGTGAAATATATAGTGACACTGTAGTGAAACATCCTGAAAAGTTTAAAACCTCGAGACAGTTTCCCACTATCTGGGCATTCACTGTAAGTGGAATCCCCAGAGAGTGAGAAAATAAAAGAAATAAGCAAAAAAGCTGCTTGTTTGGGCCTGCTACGTATCTTTCACACTTCAATGAAGCTATTAAACTGTAACCATCCCATTAGAGCAGCAGCATTTGATACACAAAATCCCTGCAAATGTGTTTACTTTAAAATGTGTTACTTTTAAACAAGGAAATTAGGATTAAAAAAATACATTGTTACTCCTCTGTTTAAACTTTATTTACAAGTTACTGGGGACTTATAAACTAGACACAGAAGCTCTTGTAGGATCAAAACCAAACAAGCCATAGATAATTTCAGCCTCACAAGAAGTACAATTGTTTGACTTTTTTATATGTATATTTTCAACAATACTATAATTTTGCCCATTGTTACAATCATCACCCAAACCAAAGAGTAGTCTGAGTGTTGTACGAAGTGCATAACAGAAACTTTATTCTAGCATAACATTTAAGAGCTGTGAGTAATTATCCTTGCAAGTCGTTGAAACAAGTATCACAGACACGAACGGGTTTCTTAGAAGAAGGAGTTAAGGCATTCTTAGCTGAGCACTCGGCACAGAAGATATTTCCACACTGTCTGCAGTGATGCTGTGAAACAGGAAAAACAAAGCAAAACAATTATATACAGGGAGAGTTATAATGCCAAGCCATGGCATGAACATGCTCTCCACTCCTATGTGCTCCAAACCAACTTGTTATTGTGAACCTCGCTTTCACACTGCTCTCCTCATAATCCTGTAACTGTTTCTACCTGCAAGTATCCGTTCAAATGACAAGGGAGGAAGATGGCCATTGCCAGGCTGAGCAGACTGCATCAAGTTGTATAAAAATATACAAGGCCTGAACACGGCTTGTACTGACAAGTCTCTCACTGCATTGCTTACAAAAGAAAGCATGAGGCTTATACAAATATTTCCCTTATATAAATCTGCCAGACATCACCAAAAGGTTCATTTTAAACAATCACCTTTTAAAAATGCTTCCTTAACACACATTGGCTGTGATGGCACATCATGCTAAACCATGGTACCATATTTTTTTGATGTATAAGACTAGGTTTTTTTCCTTAAAAATAATGTCAAAAATTAGGGGGCATCTTATACACAGTATCTCCCCCCATTTTCTTAAATCTGAGTTCCCAAAAATAGGAGGCGTCTTATACATGGGGGCGTCTTATAGATGGAAAAACACGGTATATCACAGTGATCCTTGAACTCAATGTGCTCCCACCTTCCCCTCTCCTCCACGGGGGGGGGGGGTCAAAATTTTGCTTCCACTTTTTTGTTAACTGTAGCTTCCTGTGTTTTCAGAATGATTAACATGATCCACAGCCAACTTCAACAAGTCAGCTTCAAAGGCCAGAGACTGATGTTTGTTTCTTTGAAATTAACCAGTTAATATTAAATCACTTTGTTGCACCAAACAATACAAATACTGTAGTTTTAAGAAAGCAGCAACTTCTCAACTTCTCTTCCTGGCTGCATGGAAAATGGAGATGGGTATGTGAGCCTGTGGTTTGTTCCAGCTCATTCACAGTATGCTAAACCATTTTTATTTTTTTTTAGCAAATACAGCCACTGCTTCACTGCTTTCACAAAAATAATTCTCAACACACACACACTTCTCCAGAAGATATTCCCAGACATGCATACCTTTCTTACTGTTACGGAAAAACCTTTCCCACAGGCCATGCAATTCTGAACCTCATTATCTTCAGCCCATTTCCGATTCAGGGCTTGTGAATGTTTGATCTATAAAATGTAAGAGTAGAGATTTTTATGAACATTAAATCAAAAACCCAAATCACGTCAAAGCTACTTCATGGAAATTCAACAGCAAGTGTTACACACACCCACACACAGTACTCCCAACCCAGAATTGTTGCATATAATTTTATACATAACCACATCATTCTTACCACATGTGGTTCCTCTCCCCTACCCATCTACTTGACTCACCTGAACAACTTAGCAAAGAGCACTGTTTACTTTAATAAATTTAAAGGTAGCGCAGAGTCTGTCTTTAGGCACCAAAATGAAATACCTGCAGTGACTGGTTCTCTCTGCCTAGCTCTTGCATGGCTGCAGTAGTGTCATCCAGTTTTCTTCGTGCATCCATCAATTTGCTCTGAAGTTTTTCAATTTCTCCTTCACTTTTAAGGCACCTAAAGAAGAAATCATAATGCTATTACAATGTCATAAACTGAGGAAAAATAAAACCATCATTCGCATGCAAATTCATACTGCTAACCTGCCCTCAGACTATTGTCAAGAACCAAGGGTGGGCAGGGAATTGATCCTTTTTGTTTCCTTTATGTTAGTGAGAGAACTATTCCATTCCAACACTTTCTGAGTTGAAGCTACATTTCAAACTGTGTGAATCCCTATTCCAACATGGTTTCAACCATACTAGTAAGGTAACCTCCCTTATTGTAGAAACAAATAAGGCCATTAAGAAGTCTACGTTGAACAACAACTGAGTTGGCTTCCTGTGTTAAGTGGCTAGTTATGTTCCAGGAGTAAGTCACCATATGCAGTACATACACAGGGCAGTCTAAATTTCACATAAAAGGGGGGTCAGTGTTAGGATTTTTGAATTTTAGCTTCTTTGTCAATTTGGGTGATTTATTCTGACTGCATAAGCTTATTTATTTCCATTATAATTTGTTTTTAGCACAAAATTACACAATAGGAAGTTTTCCCCTTTCTATTATAAAAAACAGAAGTCACCACATACATACACAATTCACTGACTTACTAATTCACTGACTTACCTTTCCAGCAGCACTCTCCTCTCATCTTGGTTATTTTGCACTGTGGCTTCCAGTACTGCAATCTCTCCACGTAAATCATCTGTTTGTTTTTCTAATTCACTAACTCTTCTTTGGCTGCTTTGCCACTCTTTCTTCACCGTACCCAGATTTTCATTTAAAGCTGTGATCTGCATGTTGAGTTTACCCTCAGCCTCCTCATGACTTTTATATTGCTCATCTTTTTCCTTTTTCTCAGCTTGCTAAGTCAATAAAAACATTTTTAAAATGTAAGTATTTTCCTTATTCCAACAACAACAACAACAACAACAGGTCTGTTCAGATGATATTTTACCCCTGGGATTGTAGCCAAAGAGGGAACCACCCCATTCTCCATATCTAACTCTTCTTGCTATGGAAAAAATAATGAAATCCTGGCTAGGATCCCAAATTGCTTCCCTTCATAAAAGTGACTCCAATCCAACGGCAGAAGATGGGAGTAAGTAATTTCCACCTCAGCCTTCTACAACATTGTCCCTCCAACCACCAGAGCAGATTTTTGAAATAAACATGGGAAGCCAGTGAGAAAGGAGAAATCAGTGAAAATAACTTTCTCTTCATTCCACCAGCAACGGTATCTCATGAGTAGAGTTCTGCTCATGGGAAATTAGGATAGAAGCCTCTGTGTTTTGTCTTACTTAATATGGAATTCTCCCTGATACATAGTAAGTTAAATTGAGCAAGTTAAATATCTTTGATTAAACGATTCTGATAATAGATAGGAGACCATCTTGGCTGTGAGTCCTGAAAGACCTCCCTCTGCCTTGCTGGACTTTTGCACCTGACCTGGGAGGGCAGCACCCTGAATGACTCCAGCTACAAAAGTTGAAACTGCTGAACGGATGCTTAAACATATTTAAGCATGGATACATATTAAGTACTCTCATAATAGATATACCAACCAGTTTTGCCTCAATCTCAGCACATTTCTTCTTCATTTCTTCTTCTCTCTTTTTCAACTGATCTTTGATAACTTCTTGGTTCTTTTTCTCCTGCTCAAGAGCTGAATTAATGTTATCAACTTTTCCCTGCAATTCCAGTTTCTGCTTGATCAATAGTTCTTTGGCATCCTTTAAATTTGTTATCTCCTGTTAAAAACATACAGTATTTACAATGACAAAAATAATACTTGGATGAGAGCTAATCTGAAATCATACTATTTCCCATGAAATAGTATAATTCTCAGCACAGAACAAGACAAAAATTCAAGTGAGTTATTTTCTATATTTTTAAAACCAGATGAATGTGTCTTTTTGCCTCATTCCTAACCATTTGTCGAACTGCTTACAATATTTTGGGGAGCTCAATTTCACATCTCAAGGGGTCGGGGGGTGGTTAGGAGAGGTTCTGCTGGCAGGCAGGAGGAGAAGCTGAATGAATGAATGAATCGATTTATTTCGGTCACTGACCAGAGTACAACATATGCAGCAGCAGAGAGCGTACAAACATAAATGGACACAGTCAGCAATTGACTTGGGTGGGGGGAGGAATACATCTTATGTTACAAACGCTTTCAAAAAAACATGCTTAAACTGGCTGTTTTTATTTGAAGAAAAAGCAGCCAGGGGCCCAGAGTAGGGACATGCTTCTGATTAGGCCCCATCATAATTTTATGCTGGAAATCCATTCTCCCCACCCACCATCTCAGCCCATTGCTATCTGATCCCAAAGAAGATATAGCTGCTTTTTTCTCCAAGGTATAAATGTTGCCAGTTTAATCTATAATTCGGACCTGAAAAAAAGCACCTGTAGGAAGGATTAAACTCGGGAGGTAAAATAAAAAAGTAGAACTCACAGCTTTAAGAAGGGAACATTAATTAAAAACCAACACAAGGCCTACAGATACGGAAGGGTATATACAGTTGGCAGGAAAGGTGAGAAAGTTCACCAGAGTAAGCAGGCAGGGAACTTTTGAGTGAAATGGTAATACGCTGAACCAAAGAAGTGGCCCAGCGTAAATGGAGTAGCATCTCAGCATACTTTTTCCAATTCCTGTTTGCAGGTTCTGGCTTCTTCTCTTAGTTTGGAATTTTCTTTTTCCAGTTTGGTGCTTATGTTCTGAAGCTCAGTTGTTTTAGATCTTTCGTTAGCCAGATCCGTTTCTTTTCCAGCCTTGAAGCAGAGGAAATGGACAGGTATTTTTAAGAGACCACTTTTAACTGATTTACAAAGCAATGATCATTTTCTGGCGGTAAAGAGCTGCCTCTTTAAAATCCTGTTCTAATGTATTTCTACTCTACATACATATTCTAACAGTATCGATTTTGACATGGCAGAAAAACATCACCTTCTAACCAAATGATGACAAATTAGTCCAGCAGTGAAAACATGCAGGTTTCCTCATAAATAAGCTTCAATGTTCAATGAAACTTAACAATTGCACATACAGTGGTACCTCGGGTTACATACGCTTCAGGTTACACTTCAGGTTACAGACTCCACTAACCCAGAAATAGTACCTCGGGTTAAGAACTTTGCTTCAGGATGAGAACAGAAATTGCGTGGGGCCGCTAGGGGCGCATTGGAAGATGGCCGACAATACCATCTCTCCGTCCCACACGAGGTAATTAAGAGGCTGATATGGGAGTATGCAGCCTCCCTTGTTACCCCAAGGGAATGGGGAACACTGCCTCGCCTGTGGTTGCCATAAATCACCCCCGAGTTCGAAAGAAGGGGGTGAGGGCACAAGGCGCACAGCACTCGTGTGGGAGGCTCTCCCGGACGCTGTCTCTGACTGGTTGCAGCAGCTCAAAATAAACAATTAGAGAGAAGCAAATGTACATATTTCGAGTGAAGAACAGGAGTTAAGACTGCTAATTAAAGTGACCTCTGTGAAGTGGAGCGACGGGCTGGATTCAGGAAAATATATCAAGAAGAAGACACGTATGTCGGAACGGGACGGAATGGAGGGGGGACTTTTCTTTTTTTGTCTTATGTGATTACCTAACAATCCCCCCCCCCCCCAGGAAGAATCGTTGCAATTACTGATTATAAGTGGGATGATTAAGAACTGTGTGGAAATGAATTACTAATCAAAGACATGGCTTGTGGAATATCTGGAAAGGAATGAAAGGCCTTTGGAATGACGCAGTTATAAAAAGAGACTTATTAGGAAGCAGGCCTGGTTCTAGGATTTACAAGGGGGAGGAGACCATGGCTCTGTTATTATATCGGACTGTGAGTGTGACCCGGCAGAACCCCCTAAGAAGACTGAGAAGTGAGTGACAGGCCTGCGAGGATCAAAGGGCAGACTTTAAGAATGTTTTGTACGGAAGTGTTGAAATGGCGTCTGTCTGTTTGAACATGGCTCTTGGAGGAACGGAAAATCCACACAGGATATAACAACGTTTGTTTTCAACCCACTTGTGGAGACTACCACAGGTCACAAAGAAAGGAATATATAATGATGATAACAACAAGAAGATAAGGAAAATAATAAAAAGAAGATTGGACAGAACTGTGAATACTATTTGGACAGAATTGTGAATATTAAAGCAGCAGCAAGAGAGCTGTTTGGATCCCTTTCTGAGCTCGAAGTATGGGTACCCCCAACAAAAATTTAAAAATTTGGCTTTGTAATTTGGAATTAATGTGATTTGATTGGTTTGTTAATAAAAATTATATTAAAAAAGAGAACAGAAATTGCGCGGCGGCAGTGCAGCAGCAGCAGGAGGCCCCATTAGCTAAAGTGGTGCTTCAGGTTAAGAACAGTTTCAGGTTAAGTATGGACCTCCGGAACGAATTAAGTACTTAACCCGAGATACCACTGTAGAACTATAGCCACATGGCATATCACCATTAAATAAAAAATAAATTACCTTGTCTTTCTGTATTTCCTGTAACAGTTTATTCTGCTCTTTCAGTTGTTGTTCTTTATTAGACACATCCTGCTCTAATGTAGATCTTGCAGTCTTAAGTTCTTTGATCAACTGATTGTGATTACTAATTTGATTTCTGTTTGAAACCAATTCTTCTTGGGCCAAAGCAAGCTTCTCCTCTGTGGACTGAATTTTTGAAAAACACAGCTAAAGTTACAGTCAGCCAGTCACAGTAGCAGATATGATTATGCATTAATGTGAAGAAATAGGAGTTCATTTTAGTAGTAAAAAAACCCTGTTAGCAATATGCAACAAAGTCCTTTCCAATTCAGCTCCGAATACAAACATGAAGAAATAATATTAATAAATGCTGATACAAAATTTAGAGTGCAAATAAAAGGATTATTTTGCACTGATGCCATTGTCCCACTTCCCCTACCACATGTCATCTGAGTCTTGGAAGGCCCTCACTTTTGATTTGGGTCTCTGCACAAGCTGCCATACAAACCACGCAAACGGCTGCGGTCGTAGCTGCTTTCCTATAGCCATTTCAAAATCTCTAGACATTGCACGGAAGTTGGGCCATTCCATCTCCCTAGTGCCAGGTATGTTGTGATGTGTTTGTTCCATAGTTCTGATAAGCACAGCTGAACAGTAGATTGTGCCATAAACTATCTATTATTTTATTCGTTCAATTTTGCAGAGGAAACTTCAGGTATGTGTTTTCCTATACACCTTCTCCCAGACAGTGAAAGAAGTAGTAGCTAAAATGATGCGAGTATGAGGAGAAAGGAAATCATTTGGGTGGGGGTGGGAAGTGAATGGAGGATGCCAAACGATATTAGTGGGGGTGGGGAAGAAGAACCTGAGGTCATCTTCTTCCCTTCTTCACATAACTAATATTAATATATCATAAATGGTCTGTAAGCACTTTTGCCCCCAACTCCATGCCTCTTGCATCTGCTGCCGGGAGCCATAAACTATGACTGACAGAAGCCATAGATCAGGGGAAGGACTCCAACATTGTAAGTCAGTCTTATAATTTGAATAGATTGAAATCCGCTTTGAGAACTTCAGTTAGAAGATTAGGTATAAATATTTCTAATAAATAAATGCGGCCAACACTGCATCTGCATTGAAATGAGCATTTACTGCTTTAATGATCAAAGCGGGCTAACTCTCAATGAATGCAAAACAAAAGCCATATATGTCCAGCATAATACAAAAAATAAAAAAAACTTTAAATATGTAATATTGTTAGAGGATGATACTTCTGCTGCTGTTGGTTGTAATTCTTTCCATTAGTTGTGTTTAGGATTACATATACGGTGGCTAGAGGACTTAAGTATAAAGCTAGTTTAATTTTAAAATGTCTTAAATCCTGCTATAGCTTTAGTTATAAGGAAAATGAAAAAAACACAAATCAGAAGTATTTCTCCCAAATATTCCAGCAGAGGGTGCCATTGTCATAGTTCAGACAACTCAGTATTTATAGGTTATTTACCCTCAAAGTTAGCACTTCATATAACAGGCACTTTATCAAGGTCTTTCTTGCTTCCTTACAAATGTTTTGCAGTGTATACACCTTAGACACTAACATTTTTTCCCAAAAAAGAGCAATTGGGAGAGAGAACAGGAGCATTCCACACTGCAGTATTTTGCTGCAGATTCCACTTGTATCCTCTAATTGCCAATTTAAAAGGCACAGGAACAATACACTGCACACAGTGAGAAAAGATGCCCTATAGCCTTAAAAGTGATGTAATGTACCTGAAGATCTTGTCGTGTAGCCAAGAGCTCAGATTCTTTGCCATAAAAATCCAACTGAAGTTTTTCCATGTTCTCTTGGGTCTTTTTATGTGTCTTCTGTAGCTCTGCTATCTTTTCTCTCTCTGCCGTAAGCTCTTGTGCTGACAAGGTTATCTGCTGCTGCAGTTTATTCTCCAGTTCTGCCTAACACACACATGAGAAGAGTTTTCTTTATACATAATAAAGAGTAACATGGAAACGTACAAGTATGAACATTTTCTACTTGCGTTATTGCTAACATTTTCGCTGTTCCGTTTACAGAGTACTTTACAATACTTGTCCCTATGAAATAAATACCTATGGTTTATTTAATTTTGTTACATTTATTCAGAAGACAGCAGTGTTCAGATCAATCCAAACTGGTAGCAAACCCTCTTTGTATGCTGTGGGCTCTTACCTTTTCTAAGAGAGCTGATTTCAATTCAGCTTGCTGTGTTTCATTTTGCTTTTTCTTCTGGTCAAAAGATTCCTTCAGTTCTTTCACCTTCAACTGCAACTGCTGTTCGTTCTTTTCTTTTTCTTTCAGGACACTTTGAATCTGCAGGACTTGCGCACGCGCTGAATCAAGCTCTGTTGCCAGCTGCTTGGAGATCTACATAGAGAAGAAAAGCAGAACAGTACTGTGTATTATCTTTACCATATGTAGTATTATTTTCGTGCTGCTGCTTTTAACATTATGCCTTGGAGGGGACACTGCTATGTCATTATCCATCATCTGAGCTAAACTGAGCATTTTTTAAAAACCCACTTTATGAATTTGGTTGTAGAAATAGAATACTGCAACATTTTTAGGTCTGTGCTCATACTTTTTCTGAGTTAAAACATGAACATGAACACAACAGCTGTTTAATCTTGGAGCGATCGTCCACAGTTTTATTAACTGAAATCTGTTTTGGGTATAGTCTTGTGGAAAGTTAGCACTCTGTCTCTCTCTTTCTGGGTGTGATTCTAGCAAAAACTATTTGATAAAGCAATTGCTGATTTCACATGCTTGCGGTCAAAAAGTCAGCATTACCCCTTCTTGTTTTTCCAGCGAGTTTTTCAGTTCATTCTGCTCTTTAGCTATAGATTCCGACTGAAGCTGGAGTTGATGTCTAGCTTCTTGACAAGATTTCTCCTGTGTGAAAAGGAATGACTGGTGAGCTCATAAAGTTTCCAAAATATAGACCTCTCTCTTTTTTGGGGAGAAAAAAAATGGGGAAGTTTCAGCAATGAATTCTAACAGCTTTTAAAATCCCATTCAGTAGAAAACAATGGACAGTTTCAAAGAAACTGAGTATAATAAATAAATAGTGAAGATAGATAGATAGGTGATAGATAGATGATAGATAGATAGATAGATAGATAGATAGATATACTGTGTAGATCAGAACCTGGCACCACAAGGTTGGTTATGAAAGAAACAAAGGTAATAATCTACAGCACTAATAAACAATGAGAACTTTTCTCTTTTCACAATGGACCATTTTCATTAAACACTGTTCATCATAAAGGTCAGTAACAAAACCAGTTATGTTAAAAGCCAAGGCTGCCATCTTATATCTACTCATGTGTTTGCCCCATTAAACTCAATGGAACTTACTTGTGAGTAGAAGCGTACAGACTTGCACTGTAAGCATTTTTATACTTTTACATTTAATTGATGAGTGAAAATTAAGTTTTTGGAAACTAACTTTAACAACAGTAATCAGTGGGAGGAAGGGAAACCTTTTTAAAAATAAGAACTCAACTAATTTCAAGGATTCTTTTATTGTTAAAACCAAAGCACTGAATCATATCATTTTTAGGGTAAAAAAAATTCCTAATACAGCACTTCTGCATAGATTTGAAATCTTTGCAGCATTAAATAAAAGTTTTGTGTATAACGTATAAAATAAGTAAAAAATATTTAATTTACACATATTAAATGTTTTAGAATGCATCACACTAAGAGAATATATTGTCATCATAAAAAAAGAAAATGAAATTCTGAGGGAAAAGCTTCTATATGCTTTCAAAAACAGAAATTTCATCAAATGTATATTACTATTGTACTCTAATGTTGGCCTACATAGAAATCAGGTAAGAGAGGAAATACGTGGATAATATCATCTTTCAAAATAGATGTGGTTTTATTTTTTAAGGCATGGGTCATACTGCCCTACACCAGCTGATATCATCATATTGTTTATAATTTCTTCTAGCTGATATTACTTTCCCCCCTCAAAGCCAGCAATTTCAGTCGTCATATTCATAACAACAATTTTCCTGCCGCTCATCTCCAACAGGGTACTAGGGTCACTTGCCTTTCTAAAAGGCCTCAAAAGCCCACAAGAGAGTGAGAATTGTTACTGTAGTATCTGTTTATATATAATACAACATAAGGAATTCTATATCATGTTCTGGAAAACATATGGGCATCTTTTTAAAGTTATGACAGTGTTCCTTAATTAACTGGGTTCTCCTCATTGCCAAAAACACACACAGAGATATTTCATGCACTTTTAGTTGCATTTCTTCCACAAACCACATCAAACAAACCTGTTTCATTACCTCTCCCAATTCTTTCCAATTCCATTCAAAAATTAATCACAGCAGATGGACATCTAATTCAGCCAGTGCCCAAAAGAACCACACACGTGCAGGCCAAGATAATACACTTAATTAGTGAAAAGCTCGATTTAGTATACTTGAGAGTATTAATTTCCCATTGTCAGCTTCACCAGTCCTGGCATACTGCCCTAAAATCTCACAGCAAGTAGCAAAGCACAGCTAGTATTCATAGATGCACAAATCAGTCGCACAGGAAATCTCTATTTGTTTAAAAATTCATGACTCACTATTTCTGCCACTGCTGCCTTTCCTTTCTGTTTCTCTTTTTCCAATTCATCTTTTGCTTCTTTCAAAGATTCAGTGCTTTTTGACAGTTTTTCTTTGATAACTTCAAGTTCCTTTAATAGAGTATCTTTTTCCAACTTCATCTTCTGCAAATCCTCTGTCAGTGCTTGCAGCCTTCCATCCAGTTCCTTGTGCCGTCTGTCTGAATCTTGATGTAATTTCTCAATATCCAATTTCAGTCTTCCATTTTCTTCTTCTTGCTTCAATATCTGCTTGTTCGCTTCTTCCAGGCTATCACATTTCTTTTGTAGATCTAATTTGGTACTAGATATTCTGTACAGAGGGGAGGAAATAAAACTCAAAAATAGTTCAATACTAAACTGCAGCATAAGCCAACATTCACACATAAAATATAACAAGTGGGACACATGTGTTATCCCCTTAAATCACTAATGTTTTAAGCTTTCTTTTCATCTCCTGATAGCTAAATGATATGCTGGCAGCACCAATAAACTATATGTTGTGAGTTGAAATGCAAATTCTAGAATGAAGAGCGATTTCAATTCAACTCTTTTCCATTTAGAAATACGTAAACTCTTCCATAACACTGCCCCCATTTTGTGGAACAGTCGTCCTGATGAGATATTATCTACGCTCGCTATCTGAACTTTTCAGAAACAATTCAAGACATTTTTGTTTCAATAAGCTTTTCCAGTTGGATTTTTAAAAAAATCTCCCTTATGTGCCCATTTTTTATTGTCTTTAAGGTGAAGTTGCTTTTTGTACTGCTTTTAAAACTATTTTTAGCTGTTTTGTGGTATACTGAAAAACATGTAAAAGGAAATTCATAAATAGATAAGTAATAAAATGCAGGTCTGCTTGGTCAGTTGTGTGAATTTTAACTAATCTTATTTGTATTCTTGTTGCTTATTCAAAACAATTTATTCATAAAACTTGGTACTAATAGTGAAAGCAGTTTATCATTGACATATCGACAGATCTGAATTATCTGATGAGGACAAACCAATAACAAATCCCTGCACTGCACTTGTGGAGAGCACAGCTCGGGAGCAGAGCATGTGTTTTGCACATATAAATGCCTAGGATCAATTCATGGCATCTTATAAAATGATTTTTGGTAGAAGCGCTGACAAAGACATGTCTGAGGCCTTGGAGAGTCTCTGCCAATCAGAATAGGCAAAACGGAACTCGGTAGGCCAATGGTATGGTTCACTGGACCATCACTGACCATCACTGGAGGGACATGTGCTACTGTGATGTGTCTAAGTAACTGTGGCATAAGGAATACAGTGCCTCAGGTATGAAAATCAGAGACACCATAATGCAGCTTGATCAGATGAGCAAAGCATACAGTTAGGTGTGCTGGCAGCTGGCAGCAGAAGGAGGGAGAAATGTTTCCTGCTAAAATGCAGGGCATGTGAGTTAAGGGAGCAAAAATGTGCGCCGTTTCTAGCTTTCTGCAGTTAAATCTCCAACCCTGCTATAATCCCAAGGTGGGGGTGAGGGAAAAGAAGAAGCATTCTGCAACAAAAATGCTTCAATTCAGAGTTGGAACGTAGTATGTTTTAAGATATTTAGCATACATTTCTCTTTCTCTGTCTAGTTGTTTGGTCAGTTCTGCAGCCTTCAGACTTAAGTCTGTGCATTGTTGCCTTTGCTCCTGTAGCTCCTGAAGTGCCTTTTCCTTACTTCCCATGACTTCAAGAATGTCAGATTCAAGTTTCTGAAATGGAAGATTTCAGAAGGTTAACAATTTTCACAAAATACACTGCCACAATTTTAAGAAGTTTTTTTAAAAATTAAAAATAAATTCCCATTCTTCTAAGTAAGCAGAGGGCAAGACTTGTTATCTTGTATAGCATATACACATGATATTTTAACGGCGTAGTTTCTTTTCTTTAATTTCCCCAGTAACAGATAGAAACAAATTCAAAACCTTTCCCCACATTTAAGAAGGAGAAGACCACAAATATTCAAAGAAATGGCCACTTTTGAGATTACTTGGGTAAGATCCTTACATACAATCCAAATATTTATCCTTAAGCAACATAACTTGCTTAAACCTGAACTTGACTTTGATCAGCACCTCAGTCTCACCCACTAAAACACACTGCAGAGCAGGATATCATCTCTGCTATGTGATGTTTAGGAATCAAATATGCCTCACCCACACTGACAGTCCAGCTGTGGCACTCAATGAATAATAATAATGAAGTTACACCCAAAATGCTACTTCTGAAAAATATTCCCCCTCCCCCTTCTGTCCATTTGTTCTGAAAAGAAATCGTGTTTTTATTTTGACAGATGTTGTTCCACACATATTTCAGGGAAGCTTACACAAATTTTGTGATTAAATGTGAACTGGCAATTGCTATTAAAAGTGCTGTTTTTAAAACTTCGCTTTCAAAGAGGCAGTCAAACGTCAAATAACCTCCAAACTCTATTTCTTTACTGTTGTATAGGCAAGTACATTACTGAAGCAGTGCTACTCACTGGCTTCTGTGCCATAGCATTTTTAGGAAACCTTCATTTTTTCTCTACATCCCTTACAATTTGGAGACCTTTTCTTTTCTTTTCCTCCTTCCTTTTCTTTTTCTTTGTTCTACATTTGGTAGCCATTGAATCAGGTGAATAAAAAGTTGATCCTACCTTCAGAGCAATTCTCCACTCACACCATCCTCACTTTGCCAATGTTGATAATGCACGTATCATATATGCAGTATATGAACAAATAATAATAAAAAGGTTCCTAGATGCTAACCTTATGCTGACCTTCCAGTTCTTCATTTTTCTGCTCTAAATGAAGATGCTTTTCTTTGTACTCTTTAAGATTGGCTTCCAGCTGAGTACAGAATTCTTGTTTGTCATGCAGCTTAGCAGTAACCTGATCCAACTGTGTACTGACCTTATTTAGCTCCTTTTAATAAACATTGAAAAGGGTAATTTTTAGAGAATCCCCGTAACTGTCACACATGTTTAACAGGAAAAAAAGATTACTTTGCAGCTGAAAGCCCTTAACTAATTCATTTTTAAAGTATTAATTATTATTATTAAAATTTCCATACTGCCCTTCATCCGAAAATCACAGAGCAGTTTACAATATAAAAGCACAAAAATGCATACAAAAAGAATACCCCTCCCTCAAGTTTAAGAAGCCATAAATTGTTCCATTAGCCAATATGCATCAAGGAAAATTCATTCCCAGCTGAAAAATATGGGCTAGGACCCAAAGAACTGCTTAATTTTCTTTATGAGCCACCCAGAGAACTCCATTATGGGATAGATATAGAAATACAACAAATAAATAAAAAAGGAGTATTAATTTCTGAATTTTACACCCACCCACTCATTCATTAGCTGATTGACATTCCCACAGTGGCTTCAGACAATCCTAAAAAGTTGTGTGAATCGAGTCAAATCTGACCCATTTTCTTCCACTACAGTTCATTCACCATTGTAGTAAGTCATGTATGCATCTCCCTTCATACTTCATTTTAAAAAAATAACTTAACAATATTGTTTTAACAATTTCAACCATAGAGGTCACCACAGAGTTATATTATTATATACAAGATTTCCCCAAGTGATCTGGTTTTAAGCATATCAGATTATCATTGTTAATCATGAAGGCATTTTACATGACCTTGTTGTTTCTCTCACCTGCTGTTTATCTTGTAATGCATTCTGGGCAGTGTCCAAGTGATTCTGGAGATCTGCTCTTTGAGCCGCTTTTGCTGCTTCTGCTGATAGAAGCAATTCAGTCTTTGCTTTTACCTGACAGAGAATTAAGCAAGTGCTTCAGTATCAATCACTAATACTACAACAACTGCAGTTTCTTTAAACTACTTTTATTTTCCTGAGGTAAGCAATTTACTAAGTATCATGATACCGATTAAATCAATTATTCTCCCAAAAGATGCCACTGAAACAGAATTCATCACAGCAATTCAACTGTTCATCAATTCAGGGAAAAGCCACAATTCATCAGTTCAAGTCCAAAAATGGGTTGCCAGTTGTGAGTATTTTTGAAGAACTTTCCAAATGTACCTTAGTTTTTCTAAGTTTTAAACTGACTTTTACCATAGAAATGATTTAAAATTTCCTATATTCTTTTCTAAGCCTATTTTCAATTCAAAACAGAGATAAACCAACATTCCTCCAGTATAGCATTTTTACAGTTCCAGGGGCTAGTGCAAAAAAGAAGCCCATAGAACTAACCAAACTCTGGAGAGCTTCTAACCCACAAAGCCAATAACATAAAGCAAAGTCTTTTATTACTCTGGCTCTATGTTTTCTAACCCTCTTTAGCATATAGCAAGACAATAAAGAGACAATAATAATACTTCCTCCAACCTGCCTTGATGTTCAATGCAAACGTAATTTGCAGGTAAATTACATGGTTCAGCAATATCGCCAGATTCAAGTCAACTACGCTTGCTGTTCATGCAAATCTTTGCTTCGTTAACTATAGCAGAACTGATAGCCCCAAGCTAGCTCCTGTTATCCATAAATGTGAAAATATTTGCTTTGACAGATCTTTTTAAAAGAAAAGAGCTTCCAAAACAAAGTGACAAAACGTTGCAGCAAGGTGCAAACCAAAAGGTGGGCAGTGGCAATGCACAGGTGAGGAAAGAGGAAAAGGTAGGAACAACTGGATGAGCGAATCAGAGCTCAAAAGCTATTTGAATTAAATTCTGATTAGCACTAAGGTCACATCCATGCCATATATTTAAAGCACATAGCTTCTCTCAAAGAATCGTGCCAACTGTAGTTTAACTGATGAAGAGCAAACAACTGCAGCATGCAAGTTACACAGTTACAAACTTTTTTTAAAAAAAATAGTGATGTTTGCATGGATACTGGTTTAATTTCAGGGAATTATAGAAGCAAATTTCTGAAGGTGATCAAGATAGACTGCTGTCACCAGGCTTACTGAAATTAAACTAGTATCCCTGCCCCTCATATATTTTGATTCACACGCAGCATAAAATTAAATTACCTGCAAATCAAGTTGTATTACTTTTTCTTTGCTTTCACTTAGCTGAGTATTTAGTTCACTTATGGTTGCCTCTAAGGAGAGAACGCGGTCTTGAGAGGCTCTTAGGTGCGCCTTCTGCTCCTGCACTTGCTCATGCAAATTCTCTAGCGCCTGCTTATGACTTTCTGACTGGTTTTTCAGTTTTTCCGTCAGCTGAGTAACCTGTAAAGAAAACAAAAGGATAATCAGAGCAGGGAAACTTACAAAATATATTGTCTACTCTATAATATGAAGACCAACACTGACCGTTGCCTTTCTTTTATAATTTTAGTAGGACAAGCACTACTATAGACTTCACACATTTACCCTGCTATTATTAGAATCAAATGCAAATTAAAGTTGTGCTGCAAAACCAATTTATAAAATTTAAGCGTCAAAAGGGTAAGGAGTAAGGAAGTTGACTCAGAAGGGTCTATCTGATTATAGCCCTCCTGTTAAGCTCTGTTTGAGTTCTTGGTGGAAGCTCAACTTTCGGTTTGTTCCTATAAAGAAAGTCATTTTATATATACACCATACATTGGCTCTTCTCCCAAGAGGTCTGCCACACTTTGGCTCTCCATGGAGTTCTTGCGTTAACAAGAATATGAAACTGGTTGACTGCTGCAGCAAGAATAATCTTCCTTCTCCCTCGCAGTGCTCCCTGGCAAAATGTTTGTGGATTATGGACTACCATCCACTGTTTGGGCTGCTGAGGGTTTCAAGCCTTTGCCTACAGAGACACCTGAAGCTCCTGATGGCATATATCAATTTACACCTTTCTACAGGTACCGTGGAGATCTGTACTAAAGAAGGTGTTGGCATCTCTTCCTGTTTTGCACTATGCCTAAGAAAGGATGTGAACCAAGGTGGGTGATAGAATGGTATTGTTAAATGGTGTCATTTAGTCTTCACCAGGCTTTGACTGATGCCTTCCATGCATAACTAATCTGGGGGCATCTTCAGCAAGCACAATCAGGGCAGTCTTATTGCATGAATGCTATAAGGAGTGGCCTTCAGTGTTGCTAGGTTCTCTCTTATTTCTACTGGCATTATTTTGCTTTCTACTTTGCTGCTATGGGAGCACAGGACTCTGACAATGTTATGCTAATTTGGCTAGGGTATACTGGTGTAGCAGTATGGGAACAGATTGTATCAGTGTATCCACAAACAACATACTCAAGTATTTATTTTATATATACACTAGAGGGGGAAAGCACCATCTAACATTGAATCAGATTCTCCAATGTGAAAATAATATGTTTAAACTACAAAATATCAGAAAAGTGTTGGCACTCTATAGTATGGGTAGGGCTAATAACATATCATTGTATGTACTAAACAATTTTTCACATATTCAAGAATATTAAAATAACAAATTTACAAGGAAAAAAACAAGAGTCTGATCTTTTAAATGCCTAAACAGTATTCTTTCCATTTATTTTTACTATCTCAGTCATGACACACTTTGTGAATCGAACAGAAAAGCAACACCTCTTTTTAAACGAACCCAGAATTCTACCTTAGAAATCTTACCTGTTCTTGCAAAGTGTGGTTCTTTTCTTGTAGCTGGTTAAGAACAGCGGTTTCTCCTTCACCGGCTTGAATTTTGGCATACAAATCCTCCCTTTCCTTTTCCAACAGGGTGATATTCTCCTTACTTTTTTGCAGCAGGGCTTCAAGATTTTGGATTTTTTGATCCTTATCCCCAATCTGACGTAACACTTGCTCCAAATCATTCTTGAGGGTGGCAGGAGAATAAAAGAGTTCAATTAATTATAGCACTTATTTATTTATTTACTTACTTACTTACTTACTTACTTACTTACTGTATTTTGATATTGCCTTTTAACCACAATGGCTCCAGGCACAGTTTACAGTAAGAACGTATTGAAATTATGAAAGTCTAAAAAAAATAAATGTAACAGGCAACAAGCCTAACCAGAGAGCCACAACAGAAGGGCAATCAAAACAGTTTCAAAATGAGCAAAACACAAAACAGAATTTACTGAATCTAATACCTGACCACCCCCCCCCCAAAAAAGCAACAAGTTTTCAGTCCCTGTGCTCAAAAACTGTCAAACTTTCAAAGAGGTGGAGTTCAAAAAAGCAGCCCTTCCCTGAAAACGACTGCAAGCTAAGGACAACCAGATGTCCACAACTGATGATACCTCGAACAGGGCCTCAATGCAAGATCTGCTACTACCTGAGATACACAGGACCCAGATCATTTATGGATTTAAAAGTTAAGACCCTAAGCTTGGATTGGGTCTCAGAAATCTAGCAGCCAATGAAGATAACTTCAGCACAGATTTTATATGGTTGACATATCATTATACCATCAGCAGACGAACATCAAAACGCTGAACCAGTTGAGGTTTTCAGTCCATCAGCTGTAATGCTTTTTTAAACTGGGGTGTCATTAATCCAGTGTAAAAGTCACTGAAGCATGAATAAATGACAGGAGTCAAATCTTTGTTTTTTTGTAGAGGGCTCGCCTGGTGCATCCGAGGAAATTGATATTGCCACCTCTTGTACCTACTGCCATGATCTTTTTTCTAGTAGCATGAGCTCTCTTACCTGGGCTTCTCGCAGCTTTGCTGTCGTGCTTTGCTGAAGATTCTGTTGCTCCTGGTGCTGCTGTTTCATTTTATCTAACTGATGCTGCAATTCAGTTGCATTTGCTGCTTTCTCCTTTAGCTTAGAAAAATAGTCACAGACTGTTGACTGAAAACTGATAAGCACAATTCAGTAGTTTAATAGCGTTTATCATTTTGTCTAATACTGAAGCAGTTTACAATAGATACCTTTTAAATGAGTTTAGAAGACATGTATTAGGTTTGTACCAGACAAAATGAAGTATCAGTATTTCACCAGGGAATAATTTTTCTATACCAACAGGTGCCAAAGTACAATAAAAGTGTATAACTTGGCATGGTGCTTTACATCTGGAAATTTGCATGTGAAAAAAAGAGAATGGCTTCTGTTTCATTAATAAGAATTTTGACATAATTAGAATTTTGCATGCTGTGCCTTAGGTAACAATAACAATAATCTTCATAGGTTTAGTTAAAGCCAGATAGCGACAACTGCCTTAACCCCAGGATAAATCTTGAGGGGGAAGTAAATAATAAAGACCTCTTGTTCAATCAAGGAGGACCAGTACTTTGATCCATTAAAAATATATCACCTTACCTACTTTGTATGTCTTCAGATTGGAGAGAGAGGAGAGGGAACAGAATAAGGGATTTTAGAAGGCACAGTTCTTTAGCTAAGACTGAAACCATTCGGATCCTCCCCCGCCCCCCAGTGTAGCTACAACTGAAGCACACAGGATATCCCACAGAAGTACTGGAAGGGGAGCGGAGGAAAGAGACTGTTGGCAGCGTGCAGGATGGGCTACTGATCTCAGTTCAAGAGAAAGATGAGCCACGGCTCCTTCCACAAATTCCAGAGAGAGATCATCTCACAGAGCCCTGTGAAGACGATCAGTGCCTGCTCACCCTCTTTGCAGTGGCCAGTTCAATTCTGACTTCCCGTCCTCCTTTATTTTAGTACTGATTAATAATTTGTGTCCTTACTATTTTTTTGCAAAGTGGTCAAGAGACTTCAAAGTCTTTTCTGGATTAATTTGTCAAAGCAACTTGCACATTTATAGAGTACTGGCTTATACTTTATTAAAGTTCCAACAATATGATAACGGATATTCCAGATACCTACTATGGAACATAATTTAAAAGCTAAGCAAGAACTTCATGTTGCTTATAATTCCTACCTGCTCCTCAGCCCGTGAAAGTTTTAGCTGAAGGTCAGCCACCTGCTGTTCCTTGTCCATCAGCTTTTCACTTGACAGTTGTCTCTGCTCTTTTAGCCGGCCATGTGCTTCCCCAAGCTGATGCTCTGTCTCCAGAAGTTTATTGTGCAACTGGAGGGAGAAACTGGTCTCATTATTCTCAAAGAAAATGTTTGGCAGACGCTTGGCACTTTATCTTTTAATCTGCTATACTCGCATGCAAACACATCATGCAGTGGGTAACGTGTATATGGCTCACATCACTGGATTGGGAACTGCACATAAAACGGCACTGCTTTGGCAATATGTTAGGTGGGAGGGACTCAAATCATTCCCTTTCAAGGCTACCTCACCTAAAGAATGGGGTCAATGGCATGTTTTTATTTACTTGTTCATTTTGTATATTCTGCATATATAAGCAGCAATTGATTAGATTTCGATAACTGTTTTATCTGTTCTGTGTTAAAGTACACAAAGAAAAGGTGGATAACACCTATAGACTACTTCTCAAACTTTATCTAAAAAAAGAGAAAGGGAATCAGAAAAAATGGGAACCAACATACCAGAAAGAGCTTGGAAATGGATTGGGCACAGAATGAACAAAGTATAATAGCAAATAATTTAAAATAAAATCACTCTAACTTTGTATTGATGGTATTTTACACCTTGCAAATAATTTTATATTTATAGTGCCCACATATCTTTGGGGAGTGTTGTAAAACTAAGAATTTCTGGAATCATGTCTTGGATAACATCAAATAATTAACTGTATATGAGATTCTAAAGAACCCACTGAATATAAACTTACATTAGTTAGAGAACTGTGTTGTTAAGGCGGACACGGAAATGGTCACTATTCTGTTAGCAGCAGTTGGAATGTCAATTTCAACTTAAGGATACCCTACTTTGAGTGGATTTTTTGGGATTTGAGACTTACAAGCTCCAACTTTACTTATTGTGTCAAAGCAAGAGAAAACAATTTATACGAAAATAAGTTAATTGAAATACGGATAACTTTCCTATTTTGGAATGAAAAAGTAGGGGATCATAAGGCCGTATTCATTCTTTGCTTTGGTTTTGTGAATTCACCTTTTTCATGCATTTTCTTTTTCTGTAATAAATATTTGTAATGATAATAAATGGCAAATATTTTGAAGACACACATACGAAGGCTATGTTTTTATTCAGACGTACAGCTTGTATGTGCACATATGAACTGCTTAAGTACATTGCAGGAGGTTGGACTAGATGACCCTTGGCGCCCCTTGCAAGCGTACAATTCTGTGATTCTATAAAAGGGATGTCTACAATAAAGAAGCACATACTATAAGACAAGGGAAGCCAACATAGTGCCCTTCAAATGTTGTTGGACTGCAACCCCGATTATCTCTGCCCATTGACCTTGCTGGCTGTGGCTGATGGAAGATGAGAGTCCAATGACATCTGGAGGGCACCATGTTGGCTACCCCTGCTACAAAACATTTGTCAGTTGTAGGCAAATACAGATTGCAAGATTTGAGAATGATTCTGTAAGAAATATCTCAAAGAGCCAGAGACAAACAAAGCAACCTCTTTCAAGTCTGAGGCAAGTACAATATCCCGGGGACCAAACACCCTTTCTATCTCTCTTCCATTAGAAACAGCTGGAACAGCACACTTGTCAGTGATTAGGCCTTGCCAACCACACACAATCTATCATGTGTTAAGCATTCTCAGATTAAAGAATCAAGGCTTGCAAAATCTAACCTTATCTGAGATTGTCTGATTCTTTTTATTAAATGCCATTTTATCAGGACTATGTTCCTATGAACAGGTGCCACACATATTACACCTGTGCTTTAGAACCTATACTGGCTATCCTACATCTTTCAACAGCCTTGAAAGCACTAGACAGCAGCCGTGAACAATAAAGATATGGCTGCAGGCAATTGAGTTGGCTGGCAGATATGGGATAGTGTGTTCTATCCATCCCCTGAGCCCAGCATAGAAACCAAAAGGGATGTCCAAGGAGGCATGTCTCCTCCTCCAGGCCCAACACAGCAATAGAGTCCTCTGTCCCTCTTCTGTCTTTCCCCAGCAAGCTAGATGTTTTTGTGGGTTTGTTTACAGGGTTGTCTTTTAACATGCTGGGTTTATGGATGAATTTTCCAGGAGCAATAAATGAGCTAAGAATTATAAAGCACTTTACAAAGAAGGGTTAAAGATGAGAAATATATTTACAGCCTTACAGATTTGTCCCAAGAACAGCCTCTCCCATCACACTGGATCACACTTCTTAAATAGACCCACAGTATCACCTTGACTATATTGTCAACAGTTTGATAAACAACTAGAAAGAGGTCTTCTCAGAGGACATTCCCTTTGGAACCTTCCTGAAACACTGCGAAGCCTTTATATTTAGTTCCGCCTTTTGAAATCAGAATTGCAAAAGGTACTGGGGATTCCAGACTGGTATGATATTATTTTTTAAGTATGTTGGAATGTTTTGTGGTCTACAGGGATAATATTAAGATTCTCCATTATGAAACCTCAAGTCTGGATGGAATGCATCTCTTTGTGATGTTATCACAGAAGAATTTCAGTGAGCTGCACTTCTTTTTCTTGAAATTTATTATTCAGTCCAGTATTTCTCCTACAGAAAATCATCTTATTCAAATCCTATTAATTTACAGCACACTCTGTGATGATGAAATGAATTTCCAGCTGAACTCATCAGTTGAAGATGCTGTTGCTTTTACTCTTGGTTGCTACAGAGACAACTGCAACTTCACCAATCTAAATTCCAAACAGGATGTCAGAATCTTCAGTTCTGGCACATCACCAAAGAACATTATCAACCAATAGACTTCAATCATGCCACAAGAGGTATGTTGCACTAAAAACAGGCACAGCATGAGCACAGATCTACTACAGGCAATTGGTTAGAAAACCAAAACAGATTCTTATCGAAAACGGCAAACAAGCTTTTCTCCTTGGTTGTTTTTTCCTCCCTAAGAAGAACTCGCACACCACCAAAAAGGTACAGATTTATATAAAATGTCTATATGCTACTTTATATTTATAGATGCAAATTTGGAACCAGCTACTCTACACAGAAATGCAATAGACCTGGTTTGGGCATGGAAACTGCCTTGGTTGCAGGGAGTGTCTGATCCTGTTAATTCTCCTTGATCTCTCAGCAACCTTCGATATCCATGACCATGGTATCATCCTGGAGTGGCACTGCTTTGTGCTATTTCCAGTCCTACCTGAGAGCCAGAGAGCAGTGACTGGGGACTGGCCCCATAGAGCCTTCAATGTGGGCTTCCACAAGGGTTTGTTTTATCCCCCATGCTGTTCAACATCTGTATGAAACTACCAGTTGGAATCATCTGGACATTATGAGAGTATTGTCATTAATATACTGATGCCACACAGCTCTATTTCTTCTCACATCTACAAATATGGCAGTGGATATGCTGGATCGGAGTTTACTGAGGAAATGTAGGGTCCTTAGAGTGAGGCATTTTGGCTGAAGTGACCCAAACCGTTCACTACACTTAAAAATTAACTGCTGTTAAACTTTGAACAGTATTTCCCTTGGCAAAGCAGCAGCAGTGCAGGCCATCTTCAAGGCTACCTTGCCCAGACATTCTGACATGGGCAAAATGCAGTGCAGGAGTGTTGCTGACCATTCTGCTGCAATGGCAAAGCAGAAGTGGTGCTCCTGGAGTCCTAAATGGAAACGGGTGAGTAGGTGAGTGGCCAGGTGAGAGCATTCAAGTCTGCTCCCTCCCCTCTTTCCATAGTACTGTCTAAGGCAAAAGTCTCAGTATGGCTAACAGGCAGGCTTGCCCTGCTCTTACAACACAGAACAAGCAGCCCCCACAACTTGCTTCCACTATAAGCCCCCCTTTCCTCCAATGTGGGTTACCTCAGATATGAATTTATGCTTTATTTTGTAATCCACATATGAAAATGAATAAATTGAAAAATAAATATAAAAGTTTCTTCTGTGTGAAAAACATTCATCTTACCTGATTTAGTTCATTTTGAAGTTGTAGGCCATGCTGTTCTTTTTCCTCCCTTTGTTGTTGTAGCTGTTTGAACTCGGCCTTGAGGTGTTGGTACTTGGTCTCAGCTTCTGACAATTCTTCCTTAAGTTTCTGACTTGCTTCTCTCCTTTCACCCAATTCTTTCTGTAACCTCTGTAATGAGTCCTCAGATGCAGACAGCCTTGCCTGAAGTTGTTGACAGTCCAAGTCCTTTTGATTAAGGGTTGCTTGCAGATTTTTTTTGCCGAGTAATTCTTCATTTAGACTTTCTTCTAATTGAGTATAACCCAACTCTCTTTTTTTCAACTTTTCTGCCAGACTCTACAGTATTAGATTAATTTAAAATTAAAGTATAGGTTACTCCATTATGCTGTGAAGTTATTCTCAACTAAAATTCTTAAGAAGCGTTGACTGGTATCACGGTACTGTTCTTTTACGAGGAGATAAAAAAACAAAGTATGTAACAAGTAAGAGGGCCAACTGATTCAGTCTAAAACACATGCATGGTATGCTCTGCTCAGTGAATGATATCTATGCTACAGGTACTGTTTGTGCTTGTTTCCACAAAAGTGCCTTGGAAGTCTCAAAGCTGAGTAATACTCACGTGAAGCTGCTGCTGCAAAAAGGGCCACATCACAGATGAACATTTTACACGGTTGTGGCGTCCCAAGAAAGGTCTGCCACAAATTATAGCAGCTGCACACACAGCTCCCACATGAGCAAACTGTTTTTCACTATCTCTATACCTGTCCGTAAACATCACAGCAATGCCATGTATTTCCAAATCTTGGGAGTATGGGAAAGCTGACATGGATATGAACTCTTAATTTCTATCTTTTCTCTCTCCCCAAAATCAAATGCATGCCCCTTTAAATACCAAGGGTCAGTATCATGGTCTCTGTTTTCTTGTTGTGTTCTTTTAATAACAGAAAGAAAGAAAGTCAAGGGGCACCTGTACCACTGAATTATTTTACTTCTGCCAGCTTCATCAACTGAGTTCTACACCTCTGAAATTCCAAAGATGCAACGTTCAGAATTCTAGCTAACCACTTGAAAATGCTAGGTTTGGTGTCAACTGACATTCTCAAATAAAGTTAATAGCTCTAGGATTCTTACCTGGTTTTTCTGTGTTAATTCATTAACGGAAGTTTGAAGCTTCTGAAGGTCCCGTACATATACTGCAACCTCCTGTGGTCCTTTGGCAAGTTCAGCTCTTAACTGATTTATAGTAGTCTTAAAAAGGAAAAGAAAAAGGTAGAAGAACAATTCACATATTTGGTTCAGTGTGTGTGTGTGTTCCATGAGGGTATTCTAATGAAACTGAGTTTTTATTAGTTTAGATCACCACCAAGAAACTGGGCATATTTAATTATATCTAGAATCTCTGGAAGAGGATGCTTTGCTCCTGTAGCACTTCTTTCGATTTCTTCAGGATAAGAAGGAAACTTTGTTTCCCATTTTATTGTGGTAACCAGAAACAACTTTTCAGAAAGGAGACGGCAGTGTGCAGTTTTTTTTCACAGTTATCTGATATAGATGGATACAGGACAATGTGATGGTATAAAGCTCAAAAGCTCAGTGTTTAACTTTTACATATGAAATGCAGGTCCCTTACTCTTTTACCACAATAAGTTATTGTTTTAAAAAATGAAAGTTAAAAATATTGAGTGTCCCAGGGGTGGGGGTGAAGCATGTTTACTATCAACACGAGAAAGAGAATTTGGTGACAGAGCTCAGATCCCTGAAAGGTGTGTGTGCATGTATGAATCTATTTTGCATGTGTGTGCACTCACATGTACTATGGCTACGAAACAGCTACCAGGATGTAGCTCGCGATGAAACTACTGGCTTTCCATAACATAAAAGTATACGCATTCGCTACAGACAGGGTTACTTTTGAACAACTGGTCCCTTTCCATGGTCCTTTTTTGTGGTTTTATGAAGCAAGTACATCTACAGACTGAAGGTGTTTAGACTGCTTATGATAGATGGAATTGGTTTGTCTACATTTTAACACAAGCTTTGCGAGTGGTCAGGTACCCCACCTTGTCTTTGGACAAGCAGTAGCGATTGTAGAGTGCTTCCTAGCTACTACGCTTTTTGTATAAGCTCTAGCCCTTTTATTTCTATAACTTAACACCCCATTCTTCAACCCAATGAGGTTCCCAATAAATTCAAATAAAGCTACACTTCTTGGCCATGAGGGACCTTGCCACGCTAATCCAAGCTGTCATAATGTATAGGATTAGCTGCTATAATGTGATTTATTATGCCATTTTTGTATTTTCCAGCTGTGTGTTTTATGCTCCACTCATAGGCTGAATTCAGCTGGATACGGCAGCTGTACTGCTATTCTGCTCTCCCCCTTCAGACATAATTAGGAGTATAGGACTCCTGTTCCACTGATGTTATATCAAATGAGGTTCTATGTCAAATTTCCAAGTCACTTTTTAAAACTTAGGAGGACATGTTTATTTTATTTAAGTAAAAAAGGAGAGTTAATCAGGGATGGCTCTGAGGTACCGAAGAGGGAAAACCATGCCACATCCCCCAACGCTTCCACAGATGTGACATAATAACCACAGCCTTTAGTTTTTCTTCCTCTGTAATCACACTCTGTGGCATTGTTCATCTACTTACCTGAACACTTTGCTGAATTGTTAAAATATTTGCAAAAGGTTTACTGAAATGTCTTTGATTTGCACACAAATACACAGTAAGTTCCCACCTGATGTAACAAGATATTGAAATGATCTTTAGAACTGAACTCAATGTGATAGGTTGGGGTTTTTTTGTGTTTTTTAAAGTATTACCTCAAGTTCCAAGACCTCCATGAGAAAGCAGCAAAAAAAATAAAACAGATGGCTGAATGGTGAAAGAAAGCAATGATAAATGCTAGTACCACGTTAAACACAGATTTCATGAATTTCATGGATGTACTTTTAGCAGGGCTAGGCTGCAATTCTGTACACACTTTCCTGGGATTAAATACCACTGAATTCAATGGGGCTTACTTCTGAGCGGAAACACAGAGAGCTGCACTATCAGGCTGCAACGCCTATGCACACTTACCATTGGATGTATTAGGACATACTTCCAAGTAAACATATATAAGATTGAGTTGCAAGTATTTAGATAACTCTTTGTGGGCAGCACCTTTTTAATTCAGGGACCCAGTCCCACTACAGTTTACATTCTTCGAGTAAAGAGTATTTGTTTTGCTTTTTCATACTGCTTTATGCCCATTATCTCTCAACAGCTGTCCTCTTTGGATAAGGAACCTGTTACCCTCCAGATACCGTTGGCAGCCTGACCAATGCTAAGAGACAATGAGAGTTTGAGTCCAACAGCATCTGACAAGCCACAGGTTTCCCACCCATACTCTCTATCAGTGGTTCCCAACTGGTGGTCCCACGGGGGTTCGTGACACCATTCACATAACTAAAACTACCGTAAGAGATATTAAAATTTTCAAAAGTAGGGGGTGCATGGCTTAGCTTCTGAAAATCAGGGGGGGTGCAATACTTCGCTAATTGGGAACCATTGCTTTATATAATAAAGCATTTTTAGTATCTAGAATCCAAGAGGAAGATGAGCACAGATGACTAAAAAGAACATGTCACAAACACTGAATAATAATATGATCAATGCAAAACTAACAATCTAGACAGACAACTTGTTTATAGATTTTCATATAGCTGACCACCACAATCTTAAGCGCTTTTTTTTTGGTTAAAAAATGAGGTGCTAGTACTCATATACAGTGGTACCTCGGGTTAAGTACTTAATTCGTTCCAGAGGAAACTGTTTTCCTGAAGCACCACTTTAGCTAATGGGGCCTCCTGCTGCCGCCACGCCGCTGGAGCCCAATTTCTGTTCTTATCCTGAAGCAAAGTTCTTAACCTGAAGCACTATTTCTGGGTTAGCAGAGTGTGTAACCTGAAGCGTATGTAACCCGAGGTACCACTGTACTGATTAAAGTGCTGTGGGTGCCAGCAGAAAATGGCTCTTGGGGGGGGGGGGGGAGAGAGAGAGAGATGCTAGTTCTCTGTACCAGTGGGTACTGTTACAAAAAAGCCCTGCCTAGAGATATCACCATATAATAATGAGAATAAAAATGATATTGTGAAATGGGAATTGACTTGGAAGTAGCAATGCACACAGGCTTCCAAAGATAATATGAATTGATAATGATAACAGATTCTAGTAAAGGTTTTTTTAATAAAAAATATTACAGTAAAGAAAGAACTCAAGAGTCCTCGATTAATATTTATTTTTACATGAAAAATATTTTTTGCTAGATACTCTACCTCTGAGGTTGAACATTCTGCTCGCAAATGATTACACTCATCTTTCAGTTTCTCAGATTCTTTCTCACGCTCCAAAGTCATCTTGTCCATCAGCATTTGAACTTGAACTAATTCCTTCTTTAAAACAGCAACATCTTCCACCCCGGGCCTCTGAAGCTTTAGAGAAATGAAAGAATGGCAAATACATCTTATGGAAATCAGACTGGCAGCATATTTTCAATATGGTTTGCCAGAAATTTTCTAACTGGACACCTGTGATCGGGGATATTAACAGCACACAAAAAATATTCTATACTGCCCTGGCCAGATTTAGATCTGCTTAAAACCAACATGATCACTGCATCATATGCAATATTTCTGTATTTGAACAGTTCTAGAACAGCAAATCCAGTTTTCATTTCTTAGGTCCAGACAGTTGGTTTTAACTACATGGGATGTCTTGACACTCAACTCCTGTTGCTACAGTACTCTGTAACTACATCTACTGGAGCTGCTCAGAGAAGTTCAAAGTCATATGAAGGTTAAAACTTGCAACAGCTGTGGGTAATAACTTGTATCTAGTTACTTTTTGTACTCAGGAATAGTTTCCTGGGTAGAAAATGCACTGTGCAGTTGATTAATTGTGCATACGTACATAAATTTGAATGTGGCAACAGGATGTAAAAAAAAAAAGCCATGATAAATTTAGTAAACAGGGGGGGAAAATAAGTACAAAATTCTTACTTCCTAACAACAATTTCTCTTTCATTAGTTTTTTTTAGTTTAGGGCAAGACAACAGATTCTTACATCAGGGCCTTGTTTTGTAACATTAAAAAATCACTGTCAAAGATGAACAATAACAGCTTGTTTAAAAAATGCAGTTAAAATGATCAATAGCTGGAACCGTCCCCTTCCAATTTGGACAAAGCACAAGTAAAAATGATCACATGATAATAAGTTACCAGCTCTGTTTTCAAATCTTCGCATACACCTCTCTCTTTTTGTAGGTCTTGTGTCAAACTGGCCACTTTCTGTTCTGCAGCTTGTCGAAGGCTTGTTTCTTCATCATATTTGGCTTTAAGATCTCGTTAAGAGAAAGGTCACACAAAAGGTCATTCATTTAATTTAAACTGAAACAAGCATCGTGTTGCATAACAATTATGGACACTTACCCACAATTTCAGTGGCCAACTGTGCTGCTTTCTGTTCAAATAAGTCTTTCATCTGCTTAATATTAAAGTTTTCTACATGACTCTCTTCTAGCTGCTGTTCTAATGATTCTAATTCTAAAAAGAAAGCATGTTTATTGAATATCTACAGACCCTTATACTGATAAAAATAACATTTTTTCACATTAAATAGAATCTTGTCATGTGAATAAAAAATGATGCTTAACATAATCAAATCCTAAAGAAATCAGTACATTTTCTAGGAACCCCAGTTATATTGCAAAACAACTATGCAGACATGCTGCATTTTCATACAAAGGACAGGCATATTTCACATTTACTCACAGCAATCTTGAGCACTGTTATTTAAATTTATTTTCCCACATTACTCACTTAGATTATAAGGATTTCCTGCTTATTTTAACATAAATACTAAAGTGGAGGACTACAAGTAATTTCCAGAGCAAATAGATCATCAGATTAATCAAATTAACTGTGTGTTAATTGTGGTTTCCCAATTATTTAACCTGGTAGCAATTGTGGTTTATTAAATCATTAACTATAACAAGCTGCAGCAGAAAGAAATTGTTCTAAAAGGGAACAAGCTACAGGAACATGTACACTTTTACAAGAAAATTAATCTCCTTTCCTCTAATTAAAATATAGAACCAGCATGACTTTCTAGAGGTACAGAAATGGCTCTAGACAAAAGCAGAGAACAAAATTTTAGATTATTTGTCAGCTGCACTTCAAACTGAAATATTTGCACTACAGCTGGCTGAGTCATTTTCTTGAAGCAGACATCATGGGAGGGATGCTTCAAGAGATATGTGAATCATGCAATAACATTTTCTTGACAATTACATTTCTTTAACCACCACAAAACTGTGTTTAAAAAAGTACGTTACCTGTAGATGCAGCAGTTTCCAGTCCATCAGGTTTAGACTCCTTAAAAAGAAAAGAAGAAAATTTTCAGAGGTATTTAAAAATATTGCCATTTAGTTCCACACACACTTAAGTTGCAAAAGTTAAGAACTGATTAAATTCAGCACATTTTATTGATCAAATTCAACAGTTACCTCTAGAGAAAAGAATGCCAAGTTGTTGTGACTAAGAATAATCCTGCACATGAGTAAGTTACCAAGACAAATTATTTAGTACATACAAGTGCTTTTATGAGTCCACACACTACACTAAGGGCACAATAAATAATGCTATGCTTTTATGCTATCTCCATTCACTTTGACAGGACTCCACTGAAATGAATAAAGATTGTAAAGTAGTTGCATTTGTTGGGTTACTATGCATTCATTCTGCTAGGATCAAAGGACAGAGCTGCAGGATGAAGCCCCCACGGTCTTATCCCACCTGGCACTCAAACTGCCAGAGAGAGGCAAAGAGACCAGAGAAATGAAGACAGATGCAGATAGGATCAGTAGGTGATATCAAATACTCATATTCAAGAGTAGGCTGATTGAAATAAATAAACCTAAGTAACTAAGTCCACTGATTTCAATGGTCCTAATGCCAAGTATGACATAGCTGGATATCACCCAGTAAAAATAGAGGGGGTGGGTTTCTCTTTAATAGGATTTTGATCAGTACATGCATATCTGGTTTTCACAGGTTTTAAGAGTGCATTAAAAAAAAATAGCACACATTAAGCAATTCTTCCTTAACTGGCACTACATTAAAGAGTGGTAGAAGGAAAAGATCAGCAGAGGAAAGACAATAGAGAAGAAAAGGGTGATAGGAGGAAAAGGAAGCCATGGGGAGGAAAGAGAACAAGATGGGAGGGAAAGGGACAGAAGACTTAAGAGAAGAGGGGAAATAGGTCCAGAATAGGAATATGAAAGCTTTGTAGCTGGTCATACTGTTGACACTACTACTGTATAGTTCAGGGGTGGGGAACCAGTGAACTTACAGATGCTGCTGGACTTTTAACTCCTCATCAGGGGCATTTAAGTTCAACAGTGTCTGGAGTGCCACAGGTTCCCCACTATTGGTATAGGTTAAATAAATCTATTAAATAAATCTATTAAATGATACACACACACACATGCAATATTCTTAAACTACTTCAGTAAATGAGTTATGGAACTAACTGAATCAGGCCACGTGCCTTACAAAAAAGGTTTTAATCTTCCATTTCAAGGATGATAACAAACTGCTTGTGGTAAACCTGCTTCAAGTATTTTTAAAGCAATTACTTGCTGCCTCTGCCCTTGAACTTTCTCTAATTCTTTCTTCAGCTCTTCAGAGTACCATCGCTCCTCCTGAGCAAAGGGAAGTTAAAAGCATTTTATGAGCTTATAGGTTTGGCAATCTTCTAATGCACTTTTTAATTTTAAACAAAGAACTGCATTTACAAGTAATGCACACTTCCAACCTTAAGTGAAGCTTGCAAGTCTTGAACTTCTTGCCGTAGTAGTGTTACATCATCTCTGAAAACATCCCATGTTAAAGAGAAGACAAATAATGTTTGAACTTGTGTTAAAATAAATTTTTGCAGTTAAATTAAATAACATTTATTTCTCTGAGAAATATTCAAACAAACTACTTTCAGTTAGTCTTCTGAATTCCAGATACAAGTTAAGCATATATCCATTAGCTCCCCCTCATATTAACCATCATATTTAGAAATGCTACACTTATTAACATAAGTACCTTAAGATGCAGTCCAAACTTAAAGATTGGCTTTAGCTGGACTTACTTCCTAGTTAAATAAACTTAGTACTGCAATCCAGTTTTGAAATGCACATGCAGTCATTTCTCTACATGAAGCATTAGGAAAACATCTTTTAAGAAAAAAAATGTATTTTAAGAAAAAAATCTTTTAAGAAAAAAAGGGGAACTGGAACAGTCAATAATTACTACAACAATGATATAATATTATAGAGAGAAAAGCATCTTTGCTACTGCAGCAACTTATTTTATTTATGTGTTACTTTCCAGAAAAGTCTTGAAGCAACCAACAATAAACATAATAAAAATAAATCAATATTAAAAATTGTACACTAAAAGTTCATTCACAGAAAAATTGTAAGAAGTGATGTACAATTCAAAGGCCTAGCAAGTTTTTACAAACGGTACACAAGAAAATCCCATTGTACCTTGTCTGCTACAATGAATAGCATGCAAGCTGTTGAAGATTGTAACACTGGTAGCCTTCATCCTTTCATTTAACTGAACCATTTATCTACTACAGATTAACATGCTTCAATATATTATTCAATGTTCAGATTACTACATGCTTAACATGCCGTTATGATAAGTTATTACTGCTTAGTATTGCTTAGTACCTGTTTGGAGACATGTTAGTTTCTCTTCCTTGGCTTGTATCAATACCAGATTCATGAACTGCTTCATAGTGCTTAAAAAGTTCTTCAGCTGATCCATGAGACTTCATACAAAGAGGACAAATAAATCCCTGTAACATAAGGGGGGGGGATTAATAGTATTCCCTTGCTTTTTATACTACTTTTAATTCATCATTCTATCTAAATATAGAATACTCTGTAACAAAACAAGAAAACTGCATTTCAACAATACAGTTTTCAAACCACTCATAAATATGCGTCAAACGAAACTATAAATTGAGATGGATGTGCCTGCAATAGTTGCAGTAGTCAACAATAATTGTAATTTTGAATATGATAAGCAAATAATTGCTAATTCAATGCCAGACATGCCATAATTATCCACTTTGACTTTTGGAACACTTTTAACTTACATTTTAAACCTATATCACTTCTGTCATTGGGTCGTCTTAACACATGTATGATACTGATCCATAGGATCTTTCTGCAGAATTCAGATTCCAGACTCCAATTCAGACACTGTGCCAAAACACAGCTAAGGAAACTTACCTCTAGGCCACATTTGTATGTAATGCTGAACTATATGAGCATTCACCTTCCCTTCCACATTGCCAGGAGGAACACCTCTGGAACATTTAGTTTCCATTTTATAGACGCTTGGCTTAGCCTTACATATTAAGCAGAGACAGTGATTTAAACTGCTTAGCTAAATAAGCCAGCTTCATAACTCCTGGATTGAAGCAGAGGCGGATTTAGGGAAGCACAATGGGTTCGGTCACACTGGGAGCGAGGCCTTGGGGTTGCCACATGGGGTGCAGCAACTATTATGCAGAATGGAAGGCGAGATGTGCGGGGTGCCAAATTTTAGAGTTGCACGGGACACTGCTAAAGTATGAGACCCAAAGATCCACAAGTGACTGTTTTAAACCATGACCTCTAATGCATACATGAGGAAGATGAACATGTTTATTTTAAATCACAATTATGGTTCATACATAATGCTACGCCAGCAATCTGCAGAAACTAAATGCTGCAAAAGTTCTTCTCTTGGCAGCACGGATGGAAGAGATGGAAGAGGGACCATTGTCCAAAGTATAAGGCAGCTCCCTATTGGCAACTGCCACACATGACTCTCTTTGTAAGCTTCATGCTTTTTCCCCCACGTGAAGAGAAAACACTTCTAAACAGGAAACACAATGTTGGAAACTTATGAAATAGGCCAATGAGCACAGACTGCTGGCTCAATCTTTGAAACATGCCAATGAGTGGATTTCCCATTCTCCTTGATGAAATGTTCCCTCTGAATACTGGGGTTTCTAATTCACATGTAGAACATTACAATGCTACAGAAGAGAGCAAGACGCACCTACACTGAATTCTGCAAGCACACCATAGCTGCTAGATTGAATAGATCATATCAGCACAACCCAACAAGGTAAGTCTACTGTAAATACACATTTGGTATAAAATGTCATTAGACTAATAATGAGGAATGAGCTCAGCAATTCCCTTTGACCTATTAAATTCTTATTACTACCTGCACCACTGCTAACTGCCAACCTCCTTTATGCTGAACATTAAGAATAGGTAGGTAGTATCCTTCCTATGACTTCCACTTTAAAACAAATTGTATATTCACTGTAGAGCTTACCTTACTCTTTATAATTGTTTTATATGTAATTTTAAAAATTGTTTTTATATATGCAATGTTTATGTAATATATTCTAAATGTATCATAAATAACTTCAAGATGCCACCGAGAAAACAATTCACAAAGGAAATAAATAATAGCTGTTGGGTGCTAACTATTATAACATTGTTGAAGACAGACATGTTGAAAAACGTTTTTAAAAGTATTTACCAACCCTATCAGAAAAAAATTGCATCATGATCAAAAAGCTGTTAAAGACACTTGTATACATGGCATTCTTCATCACTAAGAGCTGCTTCTAACAGTAGTAGAATCAGGAAGTATGGGGACCTAAAATGCAGATATAGCATTCAAATGGAAGCGTCCTCCATTTTATTTGCAAACCGATCACTCAACGTTCAACCAGGCAACCATTAGCAACTAAAATGCACAACTAAGGCTGCCATGTTTTATACACTTAGGGCTGGAACAAACGCTCCAGCTCTCTCACACAAAAGACCAAGATTTAAAATAATAGTAAACACATTTAACATAAAAACAATGCACCGTAATCTACTTAAACTACTTAAACTATAGGAATTTAAAAGTTTGTACACATTTTAATGCTGTCAACTAGCAATTTTATTCATGCGCTAAAATTCAAGAGATCACGTCATAGTTGCTATGGTGATCCCACAAGTGATAGGCAATGATTATGTTGTTATCTATGGCAGAGTTAACTAAACTTTTATATTATTTTTTGCAAACAATATTTAATATTTAAAAACACTATATTTAGTTAGGATTTACATGGCAACATTTGGTCAAAAACAGATGGCAACCTCTCACTTGGGAGGTAATAATGGCACTTCCAAAAAGCGGTCAAACTTAGCAGAAGAAGAATGAGCACAAACTAAAACATGTTTTCATAAGGGCTATCGGCTCATACCACACAGGCTTGGTTTACAGCACAATCCTACGCATGTCCACCCATAACTAATTCCAAATGGGTCCAATAAAGCTTACTCCCTATTAAGTGTGTTTAGGATTGCAACCTTAGACATTGATAGAATGAATCTATCGGCCCCACACAAAGCAAAAGCATGGTACAGTATTTTTAATGCTTTCTTCCAAACATTTCAGCAAAGGCATGGCTTAAAAAGGGGGAAGCTAAAATGGACTTACATGTAAGATTTAGCATTTTGATCAAGCCACTCACATTTACTGTTTTTGGCATCCATCTGTCTCGGGAGACAGTGGAGTGAAACTCCAGGGGTGAAACTGCTGCGTTAGCAGCACCAAAGTGACCTACCCGGAGCGTAAGTCTGGGCAGTGTGTATGGAGGTCCTGGGCTGCCCAGACAACAAGACCCGCCCACCCAGCTTCACTGATGTAGTCCAAAGGAAAGCAGAGCAATACATTTGGCACCAGCTGGGTGTACAAGGACTTTTAGGATTTGTGTTGGGTTTACTCCTTAGCCTTTTCTTCTCCTGAAGATATTCTGCAAGGCAGCAGAGGTTTAGGATCAGAGTTCTCCTTCCCCTAGATGGACTACCTTCCCAGGTTAACAAGTCCCATCTACTCCTCACTTTCTTCTACAACACCTGAAGACCGCCTTCTTGACCACTGGCCCCACTATTAGTCTTGTCTGCTCAATCCGCCGAAGCCTGTCTTTTCATGCAAGGGAAGTCCTTAACTCAATGAGAGTTTAAGACCCATCAGCTACCCTCACCTGGTTTAGCTGGCCAGTCAAAGCCTTTTCCCAAAGTGTGGCTGCTGTCACATGCTGACAGCTTCTAGGAGCCACAGGTGAGGACCAAAGGTGGACAAACTACGCCATTTACTGTGCATCTTTAAAAAAAATAATAATCTGCATACTAGTATGAATGAAGCTATAGGAGAGAAGGTAAACTTCCTCCATATCTGCCAATGCTAGTATGTAGAGTTACACTGCAACACTTTAATTGTTGAATGTACGTGAAAGCAATACCTTTGTAAAACGCACAGTGCAAAAGCTACTTGAGCTCATTCCCAGATTCTCCTGACAGTGCCTGAGTGCAATTGTTTTACTATTGATTGGTGTTTTATTAAAAAGATGAAAAAAATCACAGCCCTTTACCATAAGAGGTAACATTTTCTAAGAGAGGTTTCACTACATACACTACAAAAAAATAAAAAAAAAATCCTGACTTTTCTTCAAGTAGTCATGCCTTCCTAGTATGCCTATGAACTCTCAATAGAAAACCCCAAGCAAAATTACAGCTGCCTATGTATGAGCCATGTTGAAGGTGGTGGATTCTTCACCACTCCAGCCTTCTACAGGTTTGAAACGCTCTGGCAAAAATATCCATCTTGGTTTGTAGCACAGACCAAGCTGCCCAATTATAGCTCTATATCCAGAAACCTAGAAGCAGAATTTCTAGTGAACAAGTCTGTCAAGCCTCAAACACTTAAATGGGAAAATGATTTTATATACTGTTCTGTAAGTTCGCAATGAAATATGCAGGAGAAAATTCAAGTAATGTATCAAGTTGTTCAAATAACTACATGAGGAACAAAAACATGCAAAGCTATTTTCAATATGTAAATGCCAATCTTCGATACCACAGCCATTCCACAAAAGGCAGCTGCAAATCAGAAAGAAGGAACCACAAGACACTGTCAGGACATACAATATCTGGCACTAGCCTTCTGTTATGGATATAACACCACCACCACTGAAAAACCCAACAACCACCAATACACCTTGTATATTCCTAGAGTAGGAAGTATCCAGAAAAGCTGAAAGGGCCTACACCAGAGCAACCAGAAAGGAAAAGCACTTATTTTTCCAAGCATCCCAGAACCAAGCCACTGAAGCCAAATAAACAAGACCCACAGTGGCAGTAGGCAGTTCACGAAGCTCCAATCTTCTTGTTTCTATCCCAACGTGCTCTTGGTAATGTTCGGACAGATCAGTGGCAGTAACACACATTTTCATGCACACTGGACAGATGAAGCCCTGTGAAACAGTTGCTTTTAGGCATGTATATATTTTAAAACACTGGAAGCAAACTGAATGTCAAAATAGGCAGCACAATGTTCAGATTTTCTGTGGCAGCAAATATATACAAAATATGGGATTCACCAAATGGAGAACCAAACACAACGCAAAACAACATTTTATGCAATATTGCAAAATATTCAATGCAACTAAACACTGAACATTGAAATAAGTACGACTGGGGAGTAAGCATTCCTAGGCAATTTTTCCAAAGAGGTCAGATCCAAGGTTTAGAACAAATCTAAGTTCAGTCTAAGGTAATGTATTATTGTAATACAGTACCTCTGAAGAGCTCTCATTGTTGACATCCACCGCATTTCCTGGGACTGCAGATGAATCGGAGTCAGAACTCTGAGATCCAACTCTGCCTGGAGTCTGAAAACAAAAAGGCAGATGTAATATATTATATTTCCTTATTGTATTGCAAGAAATAAATAGCTATTAAATCAGTTATACTTTATAAAATCTTTCGCAACAGATGCACATGTGAATTGTTTAAATTCTCTGTTCTAGAGTAACAGGAAATTACACTAGTGCCTCCAACTATATTCAAATGTACAAACTGAGCAGGAGTGTTAGAGCTATAGCAACAAGCATACAGGTTGGCACTATCACAAAATAAGAACATTTATCTTATTAGTAGAATATGTAATAAAAACTATCAATCATCCAATAATTCTCTAGGTTCCTTAGATGTTTAAAGACACATGTATGTTGCCTTGGCTTCATGCATTTCCCATAAGCAACTCAGTGAAGTACTGTAGCACAAGCTTTGTTTTTAAAGCATAGATCTCGCCTTACTTATTTATTTTTTAACACAGGCATTTTGTGCATATGCTAGACACTGAATATGTTCAGTGGCATTTTTTTAAAAAACTTTTGCGGAACAGCTGAACATTTTTAAGGCCTAGTAAATGTATGGATCTTCCACCTGTCCTTCTCTGGACTGAAGCTACCATGGCAGATATTTTTTTTCAAATATGGTAGCCATTCTACATTTTAACAGACACAGTAGTGCCATATTGTAAAGAAAATCTGATCGACACCAGTGTACACAGTACTTATTTGATCTTTTTAAAGAATTCACATATAGAAAACTTTTCACTTGTAAATGAAGGAAAAGTATAGTAATCTTCATCACCACCATCATCATCATCAACAAGAGGGCAACTGGGCCATCTCAGAGTTGGGACGATTAACCTTTTTGGCCCAAGGACCACATTCAAAATTCAGCATGTGCACAACAGTGTTCACGGCCAAAGTGGTTGCGCCTATGCAGAGATGCATGGGGCCTCCGACCTACTCTTTGGAACTCCCTCCCATTATATATCAGACATGTGCCCTCTTTATTTTATTTCAGTGCCTACTAAAGATATTCCTCTTTCATCAAGCCTTCTATATGGAGATATTTATTCCAGTTGATAGTTGCACAGAGTTTGAATTGCTTTTATATATTGCTGTTGTTTTAATCATAATGTTTTATATATGCAACTGTTTCACAGGTTTTTATTATATTGTAAAATGTCTTATGGGAAGCAATTTTTAAATGAAATACCTAGTAATAGATAGTAATAATGTGCACACTCACCACATATCACACGGATGCATAGTGCGTGCACACAGTCACACTTCACTCACACATACACATACACATACACTTCTCTCACACATACATGCAAGCAACCCTGCATATACAGGCATATATTACTCCATCCTAGCACTCTCATCCCAGCAATGCAATGAGGCTATTTCTCTATCACAGCACTGAACTAGGAGGAGGTTTAAAACTCTACAAAGCCCAGCACTGTGGTGGAGTTTCAAATTGCATCAGTGCACATGGCTGAGATGAGAGTGCGCTGATGGGGTGATTTCTCCCCATCTGTTTACCTGCAAAGGCACCTCTTCTTCCTCTGACTCGGCACCATTATGAAGAAGATCTTACTGCTCTGGAAGAGGAAGAAGTACTCATTCCTGTTTCCCGAGCACCTACCAATGGCACTGTGCCAAAGGGAGAAGAGGTGCATTTGCAGATAAGAGAAGGCACACCCAATTCAGCAAGCAGGTGGAAGACTACTTGGCAGCGGTTTGGCAGGCTTCATCCAGCCCTCCCATGCATTTACTACCTCTAGCTCAGCACATCAGAGGGTACCTTTTTTGTTCTCATTTCACTTGTTATATATAAAGTTGGTCATTGCCTGGGAAATCATAAGTATATAAGGAAACAGCTAGCTGCAAACTATAACAATCTTGTAGAAATTGCAACAAGCAATAAAGTACACACATTAGAAGAACAGGCTCTTAGTGATAAAAGATACTCTTAACACATCTTGAAGATCTCACCAAGTCTACTGTAAAAACATGTCTTCCTTCATCAAAAACAACTAAGCTAATTACCAGCAAACTACGCAAAAATCTTCTAAGCATTCAAAGTGGGTATCGAACATTTAGGATGCAGTTTTCACCACATGATTTTAGTGTTTCATGGCACTGGCATTATAAGACAGATATTCAGAAACTGGTGCACTCTCTTTCAATGAGCTAAGTGACTCAACTCCATTCTGAACAGCTTACAGGTAAACCCACAGAAGAGGCAAGAATCACCTTTGGTCTTCAATGAGTCAATCCACAACTGAAAAAAACCCTCTATATTATGGTACTCTTGTTTCTATTATGTTCACTTTCAATATCTAGGTTTTTACCTACAGAAGATCCTTCCTTATCCCTTCTCCTGCTTCCATAGCATCAGAACAGAAATCAGCCCTTCTCTTTCTTACTGATTGGTGCGCTGAAATATTTCATATCAGGGTCAGTAACCTTTTTCAGTTCAAAGCTACATTCTCTCATGGTGAATCTTCTTTATAAGTTGGGTGCATACCATTAGTGCTTGGGGCAACAGATGTTACTCTTATCTTTGCATAGTAGGCTACAGTCCAGCCAAGCAAAAGCCAGAGGTTTCCATACGTACAACTCTCCAGCCAAGCAAGAGGCATTGTTACAGTTCTACGACATTTTCCAAAATGTGTGGAGAAGGGTGTGGAGCAAAGTGAGAGAAGGATGTAGCCTGCATTTGGCCCCTTGAACCACTGCTCTCCCCCCTCCCCCCGGTGTATATGAAAGTATGGAAGTATCCAAGTCAGACCACTAATGAATCTAGCTCAGTACTATCCATAGATATTTTTCCAAGCCCTGCCATCACAGATCCTTTAATTGGTGAAGTCAGGGACCGAAACTGGCACAAGCATAGCATGAGCTATGATCTCACAATATCACCATGTGATAAAGGAAATAATTAGCAAGACAGATAAGAGCAAGAATTGCCGTAGCCAGGATTTTTGTTGGGGGGGGGGGCAGGCTTTTGTTCGAGGGGTAGAAGCTCAGGTTTCTATTGATTTGTATTTATTTTGATTGATTTTGGCGGCAGCTGCTATGCCCATGACAGCAAGATAGTTTCGAATATAAGCAATGACTAAGATTAAGGGCAGAGCTATAGAAGACAGCCACAGTGTTCATGGGCTAGCAAGATATTCAACATACGGTATGCTTTAACTTGGGTTTACAAGTCAACAGAAGAACAGGAAAGTCAAATAACTGTGCACTACCCAAGATTACTGTGGATATGAGCCTGAAAACTCTCACCACATAAATGTGAAGCAGAAATGCCACGATTCTGTACCTCCAGTCCAATCCCAGTAAGTTTATTGTACTAGCCATTGGCCATAGCAAATCTAAATAAAAAATACAAGCAAAAGGGGTGTTGCGCCACAAATAATGGTCTTCATTTAGATCTCTGCGACTCCCTTACAGTTTATTGCTATATTGCCCAGGGTCTTCTTTCTGATCTTTTTGGCTGCCAAAGCAAAAAGAGCGAATTTATGAGTCACTGAAGTATCTACATTGCTAAGAAGCCATAGGACCTTCTCTGCCAGGTGAGAAATCACCTCTATTATGTACGTTATATCTGACACATCTCAGTATTCAAGCGTATATCAAAGGTGGTGATAAAGAAGGTGATCAGCAACAGTACAGTCGTACCTTGGTTTTCAAACAGCTTAGTTCTTGAACGTTTTGGCTCCCAAACGTCGCAATCCCGGAAGTGACTGTTCCAGTTTGCGAACTATTTTTGGAAGCTGAACGTCTGGCAGGGCTTCTGCGGCTTCTGATTGGCTTCCTGCAGCCAATCAGAAGCCACGCTTTGGAAGTTGAACAGACTTCCGGAACGGATTCCGTTCGACTTCCAAGGTACGACTGTACTAGGAAGGGTGATGGTGCACTTACTCTGAAGTAATGGTCACAGTAGTAGTTCCATGTTATGTATGTGTAAGTTCATATCATGGGCCCAAATGTGAATGTGAGACACTTCTATCTACTCAAATAAGCAAATACATAAATAATCACGCAATGGTAGGAGCCTCTGCCTCCCAAAAGTACTTCAAGCACCATTCAGTTTGCACAACACAGTCATTCTGCCACTGGTTTTAAAACTCCTCCTATAATGGAAGAGGTGGGTGGTAAGAATAGAGAGGAATGTTAGGCCAGTGTTTTTTTATTCTGGGGTAAGAAGTCTCCATACTTTCAGTTGAATATAATTTCAAAGACCAGGGCAGAGAGCATGGAGGATGCCATGGCTTCTGGAGGCATATTTTAGTCAGGAGCTTTTAATAGTTCCCCTAGCCCTGGGAATTACTTGACCACCATGGCAGGCTAATGTCTTATGCACTCTGTGCATTAACTGCTACTAACTACTGTACTTACAAGCACAGGACTCAGCAGTGTTTGATTTGCTAGATTCTCCCCCTTTTCATTCCTCTCCTTTCTCACAGTCCATGTCAGTGGCAAATGGCATGTGCTTCCCCAACCTGTTGTCAGCCACTGAATACACACTGCCACTATTTTCCCACCTGAGAACATGGCCAGCCCCAGAGGGAAGTGTACAAGATCCGAAGACATGCATACAACATGTGCAACTTCAAACAGAGATTTAATCTGCTGCAATATTTAATAGCACGAGCCTTGGAAGAGTCAGTGAGTAATGCCTTCCACCCTCAACAGAGACACCTCCCTGTCAGAGGGAGAAACCAGCCGTGATTAACCCCGTCAAGTGCCAGGAGGCCTTCCGCACCAGGCTACTCTGCTAAGGCAACTGGAACCAGATGGGCAGGAGGAAGGCCGAAGCCCCTTCAGAAGCTGCCTGGGCCCCACATATTGGGGGCGGGGGAGACAAATGAGACTCCATTTCCTTCGCACTCTCCATTGCTCCCCTTCTGTAGTTCACCCCTCCTCCTCCCCCCCCCCAGTAGCCCTGAACTTCCTCGCCCCCTAGCCCACCCTCGTCTCGCCCCCAACCTTCTGGCAGGGACCTAAAACCTAACAGCGCACCCCCACCTCCCCCAATCCCCCCCACGGGAACAGGCGTGGGCCCTGTGCCCCCTCCACCCCTCCACCCCCCGCCAAGCGGCAGAATCGCCCGACGCCCCTGTTGCTCCAGGCCCGGCTCAGCCAGTTGCCTGGGCCACTTTCCCTGGCCATGAATGAGCAAGGGAAGAAGAAGGGCCTAATCGCACCGGCAGCTACGGCCTGGAGAAGAGGGAAGTGAGGGAAGCGCCGCCGCAGCGGTGGCGGCTGGCGAGCCGGCCCCAAGGGCCAGGAAGCGGGCAGCAGCCAGGTTCCCTGCTGCTGGGATGGGCTCGTGTCTATAGGCGTGTGCGTGAGGAAGGAAAGACCCCGGTCAGGTGCCGGTTGTCTCTTCCTCGGTCAGACTCCAGGAAGTGCGGCTCCCTCCGTCCCTCCCCATGCTCCTGCTCCTGCTGCACCAGCCCGGGCAGGCAAGCGCTGCAGCGGCGGAAGAAACGCCCTCTCGCCGCCGCCGCCGCTCTCTTACCCTCTGCAAAATCCTCCTAAACATTGTGGCGGAGGTCACGTCCCCTCCAGGGCGGCGGCGGCGGCGGCGGCGACAAGTCCGAGCTCACCACGCCGAGCTCCCGAGGGTCATCCCCTAATCACGGGGCCACTCCAAGCCCTGCTCGCTCGGCCCGGCCCAACTCGCTCCCGTCGCTCCCTGACAGAGGAGGAGGCGGAGGCGGCGCTGCCAGGACTGGGGTGGGAGCAGGAGGCGGCGCCGCGGCGGCGGCGGCGGCGGCAGAAGGAGGTGCCACCCTCTGGGACTGGCTGCGAGGAGGGCGGAGGCCTCGGGGCTCTTTCCTCATCTGTCCGCCCCGGGAAGGAGCCGGGGTCTCGGGCGGGAAAGAGGGGCTGAGTTGCTCTTCGAAGTCTCTTCCGATAGGGGCGAGTAGAATTGGCGGCGCTTTCCCTCAGGCACGGCGGGAACGGCCGCTTCCTCGCCGCCGCCGTCCTCCCCTAAAGCGACGCGCGGCGGAGAGGGGAAGTTTCTCATCCTCACGCCCCACTTCTGTTGACCGGGCTTAGGCGCCCAAGGATCGCCCGTGAGGAGGAGCGGGCCCCACGATCTGCTTCCAGGACCTAATCCAGCCACAGATAGGAATCAAAACGGAAGGAAAGCGTGCTCCTAGGCATGCGTAGAGTGCTCTGCTCCAGGTATGGCTCCAGCCATGTCCACACATAGGAGTCGTGGTGGCATCTCCTGAGGCCTTTATATAGGAAAATAGAGCATATGTGAGTTTTCAGTCCAGGGCGTTCAGATATCTGAGGTAAGCCTGTAAATATCAACCCCACACTGTCCTCTGGCCTCCTTAACTCCAGATCCCAGGGTCCCACCGTCGTGCTCCACAGTCCCCACAATTTCTGCACAGAATAAATTCTTGGATTGCATGTTCTGCGCTCTTGCGAGAACTAACCCCCTCCATTTAGTACCAGACTTGGTGAACAAGGCAAGATGCCACAAGACTCTTTGTTGTTTTAATCACCAAAGCGGTCTTGAAAGCTTTACAAAGCAGTGGTTTTATGGGCCCCTACAATTAGCAAAGAACATAAGAAGAGCCCAGCTGGATCAGACAAAAGGCCTATCTAGTCAAAAGTCCTGTTTCCCAGAGCAGCCAAACAGATCCCTTTGGAAAGACCACAAACAGGACAGGAAGGTGTGAAGGAATGAAAGCGGTTCAACAATTGTTGATTTTGGGGGTTGTAAAATGATTGCTTTCTGCTTTAGTTAGAGGCTGTTCTTCACTGGAGGATCAAAAGATCACAGGGAGTTCTAAAGTTCCAGAGGGCTGGGGCAACCCAGACAGATGAGTGGGGTATAAATATTAGTATTAGCTACCCTTGAGGTTCATCCAGAGGCAGTAGCTAGGCAGCTTGTGGAGGCAGACTACTATGTAGCTGGCAAAATTAGAAGGGCAGAAACATTTAAAAGGTGGCAAATGGTGGTGGAAGGAAGGGCCAGCAGCTGCAAATCTCAGTGGTATTTGTTATCTGGAGTTCTGGACTATAGAGATGACTATCTTCACTGTGGCTGTGAATATGTTGTGGGCCCAGTCAGCCTTCCTCCAAAGGGAACCATCCAAATATGTTGTTGTGACTACAGCTTCCATTGGCCAGAGAGAGAAGGGGCAATGGGCAGTGATTGCCAGCACTTATGGGAGTTGTAATTTGAATTCTCTAGGGCAAGCTGCTTGGAAAACCTGGGGAAATCCTCTTATTATAACAGCAAACTTCTTAACTGTCAAGTCACAGAATTGTAGATTGTTTAAAAAAGTTTCATATGAAAACAGAGGAAAAACATAAAGGAGGTATTAATTAGTTGTTTTGGTTCTTATTAAGTAGTTGGTATTAAAATTTACAAAAGCAATAATTAGACACCATGCAGTTTAATTAAGGTCAAAGTCTTGGAATATTTTAGTAGATGACTCAGAGGAATTATATCCTGTCATTGTTCACATAGGAAAAAAAAACGTTTTAGGACCCAGTGCTTCACGATTAACTCACCTCATACTACATTGAATTAAGTATTCTCTTAGAACAGAAGAACTAATTTAAATCTTCTCTAAAACTGGGGAAAAAAAATATTATTATTACTATGAAGTAAGAACTGTCTGCAAACATCAGACCTGAACCTCATTTCCATGAACATTATGCATGGGCCCACCTTTCCGTGGGTGTCTACTCTCAGTGTGTGAGGTATTGACATAAGAGACTCCTGCATCTTCAAGGAAGGTGCTATATTTTAGGAATGTATGCCATCTAGAAAGAGCAAAACTGGGAACTGTAGCTCTGTGATGGGTCACCTAACAACTTTCAGCTCCCTTAACAAGCTACAGCTCCATGATACTTTGCGGGAAAGCTGTGAGTATAAATGTATTAAATGTATGGTGTGGGTGTGATGTCAGTCTTCAGAAAGAAAAGAAAAACTGTCAAATCACTGGATCTGACTGGCATCCCCTTGAGAATTCTTAAAGAACTCAAATGTGAAATTGCTGACATTCTAACAAAAATATGTAATTTGTCCCTAAGATTAGCCTTCATATCTGAGGACTAGAAACATCAGCAATCCAAAGGGGAGTCCTGAAAATTGCAGGCAAGTTAGCCTTACGTCTGTTCTTGGTGGAAAAAAGATAGAATTTCCAAGCATATAAAAGAGCAAGCCTTGAAGAAGAAAAACCCACCTAATGGCTGTGCCAGCCCTGACCAACATGACTTCTGCAAGGGTAAATCCTGTCTCATTCACTGTTTAGAGTTTTTTGAGTGTCTACAAGCATATAGATACAGGTGATCCAGTTGACACAGTGTACTTAGATTTTCAAAAAACTTTCAACAAAGTACCTCACCAAAGATTTCTGAGTAACTTTAGAAGTAATGCAATAAGAGGAAAAGTCCTCTTGCTGTTCAGTAACTGGTTGAGGAACAGGAAGCAGAGTGTAGGAATAAATGGACAATTATCCTAATGTGGGATGTAGAAAGTATTTGGAGTTCATTATTTTGACCTGTGCATTATAGCTTGTTTACTAATGATCTAGAGTTAGGAGTGAGCAGTGAGGTAGTTTGCTGAGCATAACCAATCGTTCAAGATGGTTAAAACTAAAAGGGATTGCAAAGGTCCAAAAGGATCTCTCCAAACTGAGTGAATAGGCAGTAAAATGGCAGGTGTAATGCAATGTAAACAAGTATAAAGTGATGCAAGTCAGCACAAAACATCTTAATTTCATATATATGCTTATGGGGTCTGAACTGGCAGTGACTGACCTGGAGCAAGACCTTGGGGTCATAGTAGATAGCTCAGTGAAGATGTCAACCCAGTATGTGGCAGCTGTGAAATAAAGCAAACTCCATGCTAGGCATCAGTAGGAAATGAACTGAAAACGAAACTGCAGTAAGAACTGCTATTATACAGCTCTATGGTGTGACCACAGTTGGAATAATTTGTACCATTCTGGTCGACCCAAAAGGATATTGTGGAATTGGGAAAGATTCAGAAAACAGCAACTCAAAGGATCAAGGTGAAGGAGCAACTTTACTGTTAGGAAAGGTTACAACATTTGGAACTTTTTAGTTTAGAGAAAAAGCAAGTAAGAGGAGACATGATAGAAGTGTGTAACATTATGTATGGTGTGAAGAAAGTGGACAGAGAAAAGGTTTGTCGTCGTCGTCGTCCCCAGAACACCAGAAGTCATGGACATTCAATGAAAGGGAATATTGGAAGCTTCAGGCAGACAGAAGAAAATATTTCTTCACACAACATATAGTTAACCTGTGGAATTCACTCCAGCAAGAGGTTGTGATGGCCAACCTGGAAGACTTTAAAATTGAATGAGACATATTCATAGAGCATAAGGCTATCAATGGCTATTTGCCCCCATAGCTGAAGCAGTCTGCCTCTGAATAGCAGTTGCTGGGTGTCAGCAAGTGGGGAGAGCACTGTTGTGTTCAGGTTCTGCTTGTGTGTTTCCATTGGGCATCTGGTTGGCCACTGTGAGAACTAGAAGCCAGACTGGAAGGGTCTTTGGCCTGATCCAGGAGGTCTATTCCGATGTTCTTTTTTTTCTTTCTAAGTATTAGTAATAGATTCTGCCCCAACTTTTTGCTCCAGTGTCATATCATAATCCCTTGGACATGCTGTGCTCAAGGTTTGGCAGCAGTGCCTGTGATTGACACACATGGCAGGTTTCTGGCTGCTTTGTGAAGACATCCAGTACTGTATATAATTATAGATACATTGCCCTTGTCCACAAACCACTCCATCCTCTGACACCTGCATCAGCCAAGTCCCCATGTGCTTTGAAAAAAATCTACTTTGGAGGTGCATTTGTCTCCCCCACTAAATCATCTATTCCATGATCTCATCTTTCCCTGTGTTTCTGTTATTTAATGTGTGTTAATCCCTGTCACTTCTATCCTTCACCTCTTCCCTATTTTTTCTTTCTATTGGGAGGTTTTCTGAAAACAGTTCCCCCACCTGTCCATCTCCATTTCTCCTTGCAGTGGAATTCAGGTTCTGTGCCTCATCCTATCTGCAGTTAGGAGTCTCTCAGTTTTATAACTGTGATTAAGACAAATGATGCCTTTTTTTGTGAATTCATAGCCTTTACATGTTTGCTTAGCACCACATTGTAATATCGGGGTTCCCAAACTTGTCTGCAAGATGTTCCATGGCACATCAATCGTGTTATATACCGTATTTTTCGCTCTATAGGACGCACTTTTTCCCCTCCAAAAATGAAGGGGAAATGTGTGTGCGTCCTATGGAGCAAATGCAGGCTCCTTGGCTTCGCGGCGACGCGCCTGTCCTGGAAGCCGGAGGAGGAACAGAAGTGTCTCCTGTGAAGGAGAGGCGCTGTGCAGAGAGAGAGAAGGCGCAGCGCCCCTTGAGCAACGCGCCTATCAAGCGAAGCCGGAGGAGGAACAGAAGGGTCTCCGGTTCCTCCTCCCGCTTCGCAGCGACGCGCCTGTCCAGCGAAGCTGGAGGAGGAACAGAAGGGTCTCCTTCTGTTCCTTCTCCAGCTTCGCTGAAGGGCGCTGCGCCTTATCCCACTCTGCGCAGCTCCTATCCTGTGAAGGAGAGGCGCTGTGCAGAGAGAGAGAAGGCGCAGCGCCCCTTGAGCAACGCGCCTGTCATGCGAAGCCGGAGGAGGAACAGAAGGGACTCCTTCTGTTCCTCCTCCCGCTTCGCAGCGACGCGCCTGTCCAGCGAAGCCCGAGGAGGAACAGAAGGGTCTCCTTCTGTTCCTTCTCCAGCTTCGCTGAAGGGCGCTGCGCCTTCTCCCTCTCTGCGCAGCACCTTTCCTGTGAAGGAGGGGCGCTGCACAGAGAGAGAGAAGGCGCAGTGCCCCTTCAGCGACGCGTCTGTCCTGGCTTCTGCTTTAGCCCTGCGCAGCCTCTTTGGGCAGGGGGAGCCTTCATCCCGCTGCCCTGAAGAGGCTTGGCGTGGTTACCCAGAAGCCAGAACAGCCACACGGTATCCCAGAAGCCAGATCCCTCTTGCTGGTCTGGCTTCTTGGGTTCAGAATAATTTTTTCTTGTTTTCCGCCTCCCAAAACATATGCGCCCTATGGTCCGGTGTGCCCTATGGTACGAAAAATACGGTATTCACATTTGTTTTTAATGGTATTTTAATTGCTTCTTTTTTTCCTTATAATATTATTTTTGTATTCTATTCAATTCCAATTCTAATAGAATACAGTATTTAAGAAATCATATATAAGAAATGGGGGTTGGACTAGATGATCCCCCAGGGTCCCTTCCAACTGTACAATGCTGTGATTCTATATATACCTAAGATTAGAGCCCTAGACATTTTTTTAAAGTAAAATAAATGAAATAGCAGTTGTTTGACGCACAGTTTCAGATCAGCTTCCACGGGAAGGGGTTTTTTAAATTTTGAATACTGTACAGGCACACCTTGTTTTATTGTGGTTCCCTTTATTGTGCTTCGCAGATATTGCTCCTTATGAGGATGCGAGGTGCAGGCAGTCTGGCTGCTTCCAGGAGAAGGAAGCTCCCACCCGCCACCCCTTTTCTGGCCATGGGAGTGGAGCTGACTAATTTTGGGGCTGAGTTTTCCCCCTCCCACCCCTGCAACCAGTGGGGCTTGGCTTAGTAGACTACAGTGTAGTGTAAGCATAACTTGTATATTTATGTTTTTGGCTGGAAAAAGGGGAGGGGAAGTAGGGGGAAAGTGTCAGAAGGGGCTAGGAGAGCAGGGGGGGAAACCATCAGAAATCCCACCTGCCAATGCACTCGCCTTGGAAGAGCGTTCAGAGGCACAGGTTCAGTGGCCTTGGGAGAGGCTATGGAGGTAGTTGGAGCGTCTTCCACAGTCTTGGGAGAGAGTGTGGCCTTCAGTATGTCACAGAACTCCTATTGTAGCATTAAGATTATGCAGATGGAGAGCACACACTGTTCAAAGAAAATATTAACACAATATTTTTGAAATGGTAGGCCTGTGCTGTGAAAGAGTAGGTCACCCTGTGCTTTTCTTTTTAAAAGATACATAAGTGATTATCTCATGTAGTAGTAGTAGTAGTAGTAATAATAATAATAATAATAATAATAATTTGTCCTCAGTGTACATTCTGCCTTGCAGAATAACACTGGCAACAGATCTGAAATCTGAACTACACAGTGAAAGGAGGGAGGGACTATGGGGCACACCTTTTATACAGGGAGAAGTTAATTGCCTTGGTAACACACTGAGTATGAAGAGGAAAGTCAATAGAATAATTGAAGATGAAGCCAAGACTTACATGCCTGATCAACAGGGGATGTTGTTGGTGGATAGGAAGAGGAATCAAAGAGGGGAAAGCTTTTGAGGAGAGAGTAGTGGATCAGTTTTGGACAGGTTGAGTTTGAGATGGTAATGGGACATCCAAATGAGGGGGGAAAGTGAGTATATGTATTTTTAAAACTTAAAACCATGCCAAAACTGTTTAAATAAATGCATCACAGATTATGATAGTTACACCAAAATATGAGTGGTCAAATCTCTGGGTGCTAGTTTCAGCTATGCCATGTGCTGCAAAAATATTCAAAACACGTTTCACAGAGGCCATAGCAGAACACAGGAAGGAAAGATGCACAGAAATGGCAATGGTGGCTGTTCAATATTCCCTTGAAGTCCTCATTTGTACAGTCATAAACAAATGAAACCTGACCAGGTATCTGCTGATAGTAGCCAATGTTGAAATGATTGGCTGCCTTAAACTGGAGCTGCAGGAGGGTAGATGATCTCTCCTCAGCCACAAGAGGGTGCACACAGTCCCAAAGTAGTTTCCTTGGCTAGAGTTGTTGAGCTTTTTTAAGAAAACCCCAAAATTGTTGAACTTTCTCTTTTTTTTCAAAAACTCCAAAAAAGAGCAGCATGTATTCCTAGCCAGAAGAGGGTGTGTGTTTCTATAAAGCACAGTCTGAAATTAAGTTTGTCATCTCTGCTCCCAGACAGTTTACTTGGTATAAGCCGTAGGGCAGCGTGTCCATTCAGGAAGGTCATCCACGCTGAGACACATGATGGAGCCATTTTGCTGACACTACACAGGCCTAATCTGTGCCTAGATGAAGGTTCACACACAGACCCCATGTACATCACTCAGAGTTGAAGAATGTTGGGACATAGATGTACTAAAATTAATAAATAAGTAACCTTCTTGAAATCAAAATCATAGGGCAATACACACTCTAGCTGCCTTTTGGATGCAATGGAGCATGTGAACGGAATCTTTAAAATTATAAACTGAAGTGGAGTTACAGTGCAATGCCCTTAAAATATGTGCATCTCTTCTATGTGATTTCAAACCCCAGAGACACTATAGAGACATCCTAGTTTGAACTAAACTGATCCAAGCACAAAAAGGAAGGGGAAAATAGATTTCAAAAATAAAAGCAGTTATTGAAAACAGTATGTTCAGCTTGAGTTCTCTCAATAAATAAGAACAGAGATCACAATTATACATTTACAGTTCTGAACTCAAAATGGGGTGGGGAAATGATTCCACTAATATATTTTCAAACTAACTCTGGCCTATTTGTAAAGGGGTATAACCCACCCAGCTCAGAACAATGTGCAATGGATGTTTAAGTCACACGTTTTCATGGAAAAATAATATCCTTCTAATCTACAAGCAGAGTTAAGTAGGGTTCAGGTTGGTGGGATCCTGAGTGCTGCCTGAGAAACACAAGAGACCCAGTAGGAGCTGGGAGCAAATTCAGCAAGATATTGTCTGCATCGGCAGATCCTTCACCTATTTACTGCAACTTCCATTTTGAATTTAAGGTGTGAGATGTCAAGAAAAGAGCTAAGAATAAATTGTAAAGAAAGAATAGGAAAATATGATGAATTATAGTGAGTCATGCAATAAAGCCCTGACAGAAATACAAACTAACCTATTTGGAAATATTGTTGAAAATTTGGAATAAATAAAACCATGAGAAATGTATGCTTTCTGCTGCAGCCTTGGGAGATGACAGACAATTGGGCAACATACATTGTTGAGGAGACAGCAGACTGTAGCAAAGCTGTCTAGACAAGTAAATTACAGAAATTTATGTAGTCTCAAGAAGTAAAAAATCATTAAATTGGGTTGGGGGATTGAATTCCTGCATATTACCCTGAAAATGTACTAATCCTAATTGCTAATGGGTGTGAAAATTCTCCAGATACAAATAATACATTGAAAGTGTGTCATAATAATTATTATGCCCAGGAATATTTAATTATTTTATTAATATTCCCCTCACAGCACTTCACTTAGAAATTCGCTGAAGTGTAGTGCAAGGCTTGGCAAATGGATAATGCTGAACTCCTGTCTCTACCATAAATATGCTTCAGGGACACGGGTGGCGCTGTGGTCTAAACCACTGAGCCTCTGAGACTTGCCAATTGGAAGGTCAGCGGTTCAAATCTGCGCAACAAGGTCAGCTCCCGTTGCTCTGTCCCAGCTTCTGCCAACCTAGCAATTCAAAAGCACACTAATGCAAGTAGATAAATAGGTACTGCTATCACAGGAAGGTAAACAGTGTTTCCATGCACTCTGGCACTCATCACAGTGTTCCATTGCGCCAGAAGCAGTTTAGTCATGCTGGCCACATGACCCGGAAAGCTCTCTGTGGACAAACGCCAGCTCCCTTAACCGTCCAGGGGTCCTTTACCTTTCACCTTTAAATATGCTTCATGCCCATTCAGTTCCAGATGGTAAAATATAATCAAGAGGATCACATTTGCCCCTCAACTTTTCCTTTCCCTTTTCCCTTTTCCAAGTGATGCACACTTATCTGCCTTTTCCTTCATTTTAATAATCTTAAAAGGTTATGTGTGACTCACCAGTTTATGGTAATTAGAGGCATCTTTCTTTTATCAATAGATTATGAGCACATTGTACGCACTAATTAAGAAATTATGTGATGATAAAACATGAAAATTGAGCAGGTCCCTGGTCACAATGCTGTGTGAAAAGATATGTTAGACAATAAGCTCAGGTGCTGAAGACAACATTCTGCTATTTGCATTCATCTGATAGGACCAAGCAGAGGCACCATGATGTTGCTAGAGATATTTGCCATGGCAAACAGTATACATTTTCCTCCATGTCTGATTCTCAGAGGGCTATTACTCATTCTGTATATGCAAAGCCAGGTTTTCAATAATCTTTCCTGCAGTAATATTTACAGCCTTTTCAATGTAGCTGCACTTTCACTGTCAGGCTCAGTGTGGTGCAAATGCACAACAGGTGAAAAGAGCTAGGAGAGTATGACATCTAAAGTTGTAAACAGAATTATATAGTGAGCCCCATGACAATCTCCATCTAGCCCCCAGAATTTTCTAAACCTTTTGCCCTATCACATGCTGTTTGTTGTTCCAGAAATACATAGCATCAGCAATCAGGAAAGATCACATCAGTGCAACAAACCCAGATCACCCGACAAAGGCATAGAGACAAGCTAAATGCCGGCATCAGGCAAGAAGGTACAATTTACCAGGGTGTGCTAATATACAGTACATGATTTTATTTGTATGCCAGCTTTCCATAGTTAAAACCAGTTTGCAACATGAAAAAATACATACTGTAATTGCAAATATAACAAAAAATAATGAACATAAATAATGAACATAAATAAAACATCAAAAGGTAAAAAACCAAATTAAACAATGTCCACGTAAACCATAAGATCTAAAATAAAGATACAAAAAAGAAAAATCAAAAACAGCAACAACAACCCCTTCATTCTGCCACCGCTGCCCAAACAAAAGCCCCTAAACAATACTTCAACCCAAGAGTCTGTTCAGCAGCCTCAGCTTTTGTAGCTGGAATCAATCGAGGCCCCACCCTCCTAGGTCAGGTGGGAAAAGGCCTGCAAAGAAGGAAGCAGGTATGTTTTAGTGTTGCAGCTCCAGCCCTCTGGACTCAGAAGCAAGCTGAAATTAGACTGTTAGCATCTTGATGTTAAGGTGGCTACTGGAGATGTTTTGTGTTTGACTTGTCTGTGGGTGGCTCGGTTCCACATTACCTTTGTGGCATGGGAGCAGTTACAGTGTCACTTTATCCCAGCCAACAATGCTAAAACCAGAAGTTCCAGACCATGTATTAAGTAGCCCAGGGCCACACATGCCATAGTCTGTACAGTTTATTTACAGACAAATTAAATTGCACCAGTCTCAAGGCTGTTTTTTTAACCTTCCCAGCATTGTGAAAATGCTTCCAGGACTCAGCTGTACAGCTGCAAATAAAATGTTTTAAATGTGTTGTAAAGTGCATTATACAAATGTGACACTAGATGGCAGCAGTGAGCTATGACAAATGCAAATTTTTTTCAAAACTTCTTTTAAAGCATTTTCACAACATTTTTTATATGTGTCTAGATTCCACCCCAGATTCCTGTTTTTATACCAGTTACCAGTTCTTAAGAGGATGAGTCCTCTTATCCCATGGCTGCCAAATTTTATAAGAAGCCTTTGGTGAGGGGTGTTTTTGAATGTCATAGCAAGGGGCATTGCTAGTGGTGGAGCCCAAAACATCTGCCTATTTCCCCATTTTTAAACCTTCCCTCCACCTTACAGGGTGGCTAGGGGCAAAGCACAGTGCCAGTGAGACCCCAGACAGCCACCATCTTCTGTGCCCCAAGACTTTTAAGTACCCAGAAACACCTCCATGCACAAATATATAATTCTAGAGAATCACCTCTGTTGCTGTGTTGTTTTGTGTTCTGGGCAAAAGAAGTGTGCCTCTAACACAGGGAACCTTTTCATACCTAAAGAGTAAACAAAATGCAAACGGCATTCCAAATGCCTATATTTTAAAATGGGTTGCTGCTTATCTCTGTGTCAGTCAAACATGCATAGTGTAAAAGTTTCATAAGGCAGCCAGCAGCAAGGTGAAAGATGAAGAGATTGCTGAATAATAGAGAAGGGCATCTTCCAGACAGCTTAGGTTCATTTGAGAACAAACACAAAATATATTATACAATCTTTTCATTCCGCCAGGAGAGCTCCAGCCTCCCTCAGAGCTTTCTGCCACTGAAAAAGCCATACAAACGAATGATACCTCAGTCAGCGGAGGGCTTTGAGGAGCCAAGATGCAAAGTTAAGCCAGTATTATTGAGGGAGACAAATGGGTGGCATAGTGGTTAAGGCTAGAACATGGGAGACCAGGGTTCAAACTCCACTCGGCTATGAAGCTCACTGGGTTGTTGGGATAAAATGGGCAGAGAACCATGTGCACCACCTTGAGTTCCTTGGAGAAGAGGTAGGAAATAACTGTGATAAATACTAAATAATAAAATATCCAGGAATTGGGAAAGAATCAAGCATACAGCCAAACTCTCCCCCCCGACACACAGCAAACTCAACACACACAGCAAAACTCAACAGCACTAATTTATTGCTTTGTGATCCAAGACAGTAAGGTCATGGGGCCAGTTGATCCCATAAGTGGGTGCACTGTCTGAAAGGAGGAGCCCTCTCTTCTTTTTTCCTGGATTGCTTCCTGTAGCCATATAATTTGTGGTCATAATTTTGGCAAAAATGCTAGCATATTTCAGCTAAGGATGTTGTCATAGTGAACACTACAATTTCCTGAAGAGATTACAAAATCTTGCCAAGAATTGTGCAACCGTCTCTTTTATGATGTTAAGCAATATGAAGACAGGCATCGTCAAGTCCTTCGTGCAGCCTCTGCCCTATGGCACACTTTAGGGGGAAGCAATTAAATGCAGATTATTCAAAAGGTATCTCCTTAATCTGGCATGATTTATTGAACAGAACTGAGGGTAAACTGTGCTGCCTGAGGAGACCTGCTGTGGGGAAATGCTGTATATATGTCTGTGTTTTGAAGGAACAAATATCTTGTGACCTCTGTGACTGTCAACGTACTATTACTGTATATAGCAAGCCTGTTTAGCAGTAGCCGTTTGGCGGCAGGTTCGGAGAGGAGAAAGAGGGAGGATTGCTTTGAATATTTATTAGGTGGGGCTTGGATCAGGTAAATTCATTCTAATTGGTCTGAGTGACAGCAGAGACTGATTGGCTGCAGATTCCAGCCAGACAGGGAGTTATGTGGCAGCTGAGGAGATGGGGGAAAGGGATTTCATGAGGGAGATATGAGGAACAGACCAGAGAAAAGCTGAGAGGAAAACAGGCCTGGCTATCTGTACTCAATATTTATAAAATAGACACTTGTCTAGTGAAGATCAAGAGAAGAGAAATGGTGTCTGAGTTAGTCTTAGACACTTTGCCATCCAGCTAACTAAGCACCCTGCAGCCATTTTGCCATCCCAGAATCCTTTTCAGTGTCACAGAGGACACACATAAGGGCATAGCTCTCTTGTTCCAGCACAGCTGCACTCAATCCAAGAATTGTGATGTTGCAAATGGCCCACATCTCAGATCATATGTTATTTCACTGCCACTCATAATAGTACCAGCCACCCCCACCCCCCAGCAACATCTTCAAGTGTTTCTTCAATCAGGCTGGCCCTGGTTGTGATGACAGTATACGAGAAATCACTTAGCTGCCGTTTCCAAGACCTACCTTAGGATACGTCTGAGGATACATGAAATGCTTGAAGATCTACACCTGATCCCAAGTTGTTCCCTTGATATTGGGGTGGGGGGGGTGGGACTCCACTTCAGTCATTTCTTCCCACTGCCATTGACTCCCTCCTTGTCATTCTAGATCCCAACACCCAGGCTATAGGATATAATGATGTTACCACCTAGCATTGGATAATTCCTTCTGCGTCTTTATTCCTATTTATATATAAATGACAAAGATAAGCAGAGAGGAGCTTACGGTCTAAATTTAAGCAGTGGGAGTGAGAGATGGGAGGAGAAGGGAAAAGGCAAGGGGGGCACAAAGCTAACAAGGAATATTTGCAAGGAAATGCAGTTTGCATGTCATTTTGGTTGGAGGCGCAATCCTTTGGTACTTGCTGAACTCAGTCACCCCGTGGAGCAGCAGGCTCTCCGGGCATGGAGAGTTAGAATGCAATTCGTGACTAATGAGTTGCCTACACTTCTTTGCTTAGTTCATGCACATCTGGGTGCAGCGGACTGTTAATCCAGCTCCATCAGAAACTGCAGGTTAATGTTTAAAGCACAGTGAGTACAATAAATCAATTACAGGACAGTACTGGGTATGCTGCAGCATACGAGGAAGAAAAAGTCTTGACACTGCGCTTGACACATGGTGCCAACAAGACTAAAGTCATAGCATGATAAGGTGCCAGTGGCCCAATCTACTTGCAAATAACTTACAAGAAAGCGGGGGTGGTAGTAGAAGAGATGAATGAATTAGCTCTTTTCTGGGAGTTCAGTAGCTAACTGCAAGTATAACGTTCAAGGTTAATGTAGTCTAGCAAAAAGTCATTCATCAGATCCCGAGTTCAGCATGAACCCAGTAAACTGGAGCTGTTATCATAGATTCATATGAGAGGATGATGTAAATGAAACACCATCAATTGCTGTTATTGTTCTACATCAAATCCTTCTTGCCAGTTGCTGGTTCCACTCTTAGAATTGTAATCTAAAGCTTACAATATATACGACGTTTATTCAAGTGTTATAGATTCACATAACTCTTTATAAGGTAGGATCGAAAAGCAGGTAGTTCTCTTGTTTTGAAGGATGCAATTAGATATAAATATTTATAAGTAATTTCAGATAGACTGAGTCCTAGCAGCACAGTGTGGAGGGCATGACCCAGCCACAGTTAAGCACGTAATTTAATTCTCTCTCATGTAAACCAAATGGCTTTTACTCTCCCTCACCTTGGGAAGCAATTTGCGATGACTCAGCTTTAAAATGTGACTTTTGGCTATTTGGAGCATGGACATTTTAATCAAAGCTAGTCTTCAGTTCCCTTCCTGCTTTCCCAACATTGACACCAAAGATACAGCAGGGGGCAATGACCCACTTTGTCACCATAACCCCCACGGCTTCCAGCAAGCTGGGCTATTGAAAAAAGGTCCTCATTTCAAACATAGAGAAAGCATTCGTGCACATGTTACCATTTTAAGTGATCCACATTCTGTAGTTTTTTTAATGTAAGCCAGAGGGGTTCAAATGTGGCCCTTCTATCTGGCCCTTGGGACTGTCCGCACCCTTGCCCTCTCTCCTGAGGCCACAGACCCTGCTTTGAATTCCAGCTGGTGTTTTTGACTAGCTGGAATGTATCCTTGAACTCTGATAATGCCTCTTCCTTGCCTGGATGTACGAAAGAAATGCGTGTGTGAGTGTGGGTAGAAACTAGCAAACCACTGCCATGTGGCCTACAGAATGTTGCCCAGCAAGGGATGCAGCCCTCAGAATGAAAAGGTCCCTGCTCCTAGCTTTAGAGAACTACAGTTATTGCCGAAAACATGTTGAGCAGTGACAAACCAACCAGATTTAGCTTTCTACATGCAATATGTGAAGAGATTCTGCTGCAAGAGGAAATGCACTCATTTTACTGTGCAGATGTTTTCAGAATAAACTCATACCTTTCTCGTTATCATAAAGAATATGATTTATGAGCTAGGCTTCCCACACCGCATAACAGCATTATCTCTGAGGATCAGAACACCTTCAGAGGCATTTAT